CAGGATTGGACCAATAGAGAAATCAAGTTGTGTTGTAACCTCAGTGGAAACTTGAGGTGACGTTTGGGAAATTGTTTTTAAATTAAAAAAAATTATTTGAGACCTCCTTTCCGTGAGCTCTCTCTCCAGGTTCCTATAATGGCCAGGGATAAAAGCAAGAACTAGGAGCTCAAGCTGGGTCTTCTAGTGGGATGGCAGGAATCCAATCACTTGAGGCTCCAGTGCAGTCATATCTGCCTCCTAGGGTCTGCATCAGCAGGATACTAGAGTCAGAATCTGGAGCTGGGAATCAAGCCCACACACTCTACTCAGATTTCTGCTGGGAAATACTTGAGATGGGATACACTTTCACCCTTTGGAGTGAGTGTGACATCTGGGCCTTTATATTCTTCCAAATCATGGCTTGAAAGCCACCATAGGAAGGGGAATTGCATCCTTGGCAGAATAGCTCTCTTCAGCAGAGGTTGCCTAATTACAATATTTGCAGTAGTTGGGAATAATTACAGTTCTTTACTCCTAATCTGAGCTTTGAGTTACAGTGTGTGTCATCATTTACTGCTTGTTTAATAGTTGTCACTTGAATAAAACATTAATGTAAATTTTAGTGACTTAAAATAGCAAACTTAGCAATTGGCATTTGAAGAAAATCTAAAGGAGGCAAGAAAGCAAACTTTGTGAATATTTGGAGAAAGCCAGTTCTACGCAGGGAGGACAGCGAGAGCAGTTTCCTGAGAACACAATGTGCCATAATGAGAAGGTCAGTGAGCAAGTGGAGAACAAGGAAACCAGAGCATTATTAGGCATCAGGAGATGGTTTGGAAGTCTGTTGAGCACCTGTAAAAAGAGAGGAAGAGGGAGGGAGAAAGGGAGAGACCTTCCCTTCATTGGTTCACTCCCTAAATGACTAATAGTTAAGGCAAGGCCAAACTAAATCTAAGTAACAGGGAACCAACTATTTCAGCCATCACTGCCCTTTAGCATGATTCTAGAATTGGAAGGGAGCCAGGAATTAATGCAAGGTACTCTGATTAAGAATGTGACATTCCAAGCAGCATGTTTTTGGTAAGATTTATTTATTTAATTGAAAGAGTTGCAGAATGGTGGGGGAGAGTATAAGCTAGCCTGAGAGATCTTCTATCTGCTGGATCACTCCCCAAAAGGTTGCAATGTTGGGCTGATTCTGACCAAAACTAGAAGCCAAGAGCATTTTCTGTGTCTCCCACATGGGTACACAAGGGCCCTAAGCACTGGCATCTCCTGCCGTTTTCCAAGTCACAGAGACAGGGGGCTGGATTGGAAGTAGAATAACCAGGACTTGAATTAGTGCCCATATGGGATACCTCACCTGCTATCCCAGATTACTGGCCCCCGAAGCAGCATCTTGACATATGTGTCAAGTGTTTTTAGCAATGCTGTTTCAGATTTGTCAGTGATTTAACTTTGATCACTTGCATGATCTCTATAGTTTTATTCTTCCCGTATAGTTTGTTTTGATGACATATTTTGAATCTTCTATAGTTTGTATCCCTTACTGATTATGGCAATCATTTATAACAGGTTTGCATTTTTTGTATTAGAGATATAGTTAATTTTTGTACCACTATCATATGAATGTTCTAAATTTTTATAATTTTGTGAGTGAATTGTCATGTTACTACTTTAATGCCATTTTCTTTCTAATCAAAGAACTTTTCATAGTTCTTGTAAAACAGCTAGTTCCTCAATTTTTGTTCATCTGAAAGTTTTAATCACCCCTTCAGTTTTAAGAAAGAGTATTATAGAGGATACTACTCTTGGTTGGCAGGGTTTTTGTCTTTTTTTTTCCCCCTTGGTAGTTTTTAAATTTTTGGATCCCATTGCCTTTCACATTTAGTCTCATGGTATCCTTTTGTTTCTCTTGTAATCTTCAAAATATTCCATCTGTGTTTAACTTTTGGTATTTTGATTATGTGTGTCTTGGTATGAGTTTCTTCAAATTTATACTACGAGTTGCATATTGAACATCCCTGATCCAGGTTTCTATTTTCTTTCCCAGATATGGGAGGTTTTCTGCCATTGTTTCTTTGAATATGTTGTCTGTTCCTTCTCTTTGCTTTCTGATACACAGGTAATAAGTATGCTATTCTGCTTCATGTTGTCTCATAATTCCTTAAGACCGTCTTTCTTCTTTTTCATATTTTTTCTTTTTGTTTTTCAAATTGGTTGATTTTTAGTGAGCTAACTTAAAGTTTACTAATCCTTTCTTCTGCTTGATCTGTGTGTTTGAACAACTCTGCTGCATTTTTTAGTTTAGTTATTCTTTAGCTCAATGATTTGTATGTTATGAAGTTTTCTGTTGTTCATGTTCCATTTACCTTGATGAACATCTTCATGATTTTTTTTTAAATTCCCTAATAGGCAAATGAAATCTCACTATTTCATTAAGGTTGGCTTTAGGAGATTTATCAGGTTATTTCATTTGGAAAATATTTTCCTGTTTCTTCAATTTTCTAGGCTCTGTTGTTTCTGTGCATTAGATCAAAGAACTAATTCCTCTAGTCTCATTAAACTGCTCTTATGTAAGAGGTGTTTCTTTTCAATCAACCTGAATAAGAGATTCTGACTCAAAACCTTTTGTGATTGTCCTGCTTGGAATCTTTGGTTTTAGAGTCGCTCCTTCCTGCAATGAGGAGGGTCAAGTCATGCTATTATGTTAAGGTATGTGGGATAGAAGTCAGTTCCTTGGGATGTAGCTGGAGAGGTGGGGGTGGTAGGTAAGTGTTTTAGTTCTTTCATTCCTTTCAGAGAAACTGGAAGCCACAGTTTATCTCCCAGTCATTTTGCCCTACACTTGGGAGAGAGCCTGAGGCAGATACCTGTAGTTTTTTTTTTTTTAATTCTATTTTTTCATCTACTGGAGATAGGGCAAGATTTCCAATCTAACGATTCACTCTCTAGTTGTCCACAGCGTCCAGGGTTTGGCTAGACCAAAACCAGATGCCCAGAATGCTATCCTGATTTCCCATGCATGGTAATCCACCATCAATGCTTCCCAGGATGCATAGTAGAAAGCTAGATGAGAAGCAGAGGCACTGAGACTTGACTGATGTGTGTCAAACTGTTGTTTAACTTGCTGTACCACAGCATTTACCCCCAGAGACCTGTGCTTCTGTTCAGACTGCTCACTTGAACCTAGGAAGGTTGTTAGTGAATGCTTCCAATTTTAAAGGAATCTTTTTGTTTTGTGTGGTCTAGGAGACTCAAGTGCAGAGCTCAATCAGTTCCCTATGTTATGTGACTAGGAATCAGTTCCCTGGGTGAAGACCATAAAAGTTGGGTTACTCACTGTGTACAGAAACTGATTCTTGGACGATTTAGATTTATTACTGGAGAAATCCGGGAAGAAGGAGTGGGGAAGCCCATTTTCCTATTAGAGGAAGCAGAAGTCTCATACCCTCTTAGTAGTAGGGAGTGATTTTTAGTTGGAGTTAGCACTGAGGTAAGCCAGGAAAGGCGGCACAGGGGAGTGCCTGCTCTCCTGTTTAAAAAGCAAGAAAAATTTTCAGAAACTTCTTGCAAGAGGAACACCTGCTCTGGAGTTATTACAGAAGCAAGCCAAGAAAGAAGGCCCTGAAATGCTATTGTTTATTTTAAGTGTGGAAATATCCCCTAACATCTGTTTAATGAGAGGTGGCAGTTTATCCCAGTTATCTAGGGAAAAAAATGTCACAGGGAGTACCCATTCTCTCGTTCAAGCAAGTGTACATTTCAGATTCTCTTCACAGGGACTGGAATTATCAGTGAAACAAGTCAGATATAAAGGTACAGAGAGGACCCACTTTCCTTTTCAGACTTGGAGAGGCACCACTACCTCCTCTAATGAGAACTTGTGGACATTCATCTCAGGAGTAAGCCAGGGGAAAGCACTGAGAAAAGTGGACAGAGAGGAGAGTTGTGTTTTGTTGTTGTTGTTGTTATTGCCATGGTTAAGTTGTAGGGCTAGCCTGATCACTGATGGAGAAAAGGGGATATGGAATTGTGTCCCTCCCAGTACCAGTGCCCCAAGCAGATGAGTCAAGGAAGCAGTTGAATACACAGCCCAGGAATCAAGGTGTCCAAGCTGAGAGTGACCAATCCTCAAATGTGCCATGTTGTTTTAAGCTTGCTTTCTTTGAACGCCCAGACCATTGTGCCTAAAAATGATTTTCTCTAAAAGCGTTGTTATTGTACATGTTACATGTTGTCAGGGTTGATCCTCCAGTACCCTCTCTTCTTTGTTGCCAGTCCCTTGTCCCATTTTTGTCTTTTCCTCTGTAGTTCAAGTATTGGATGCTACACCTAATACATACTTACTGAGGTGTCTTTAATGAGTCTTAGGAACTGTGCTAGGCAGGGCAAAAGTCTGATCCTTGCCATAAGTAAACAAATAATATTCATTTGTGTATGAGTGCTTTAGAAGGAATACAATATGTTGGGGTGATAGCATACTAAGTACTGTTTTGGAGTCTGGTTAGGGAAGATCTCTCTGATGAAGTGATATTTATTTAAAAATTTAAAACTAAGTATTTGAAAGGCTGACATAAACACATGAGCACTCACAGAGATATAGACAACTCAGTACAACTCAATATAAGCTGGCTCTCCTCCCAAAACCTTCACCAGCCAGTGTTGTGCCAGGCCAAAACTAGAAGCTGGGAATGCAGTATAGGTCTCCCATGTTGGCTGGCATGGGTTCATTTACTAGAGCCATCGCCTGCTCCCTGCCAGGCTCTGTATTAACCAGAAGCTGGAATTGACAGTGGAGCCAGGAATCTGAGTATTGTAGGATGGGATGCAGCGTCTTAACCTGCTTCTTAGCTTAGGGCCAAACATCAATCTCCAGAGATGGTGTTTGTTCCCTTAAACTGTGATTTAAATATCCTATGCAAATTCCACCTCTGTTTCCTGATCCCTTCCCCCTTTCCTACTAAACACGTCTTAATACACATCTACTAACATTAATTTATTCTTTGTTTTTCAAGGTTAATTTGAAGCGACCATGTCCTTTCTGGGCAGAAGATGGACACTGTTCAATAAAAGATTGTCATGTGGAACCATGTCCAGAGGTATGATAAAATGGTTGAAACTTGCTTTCTCTTGGTTTGTTATGAGGCAGAGTTAGGAGAGAGAGCCAGAAAGAAGTCCCATGTGCTGGTTCACAACCCCCAGCGCCTGCCCTGGGTCAGAGCTAGGAGCTAGGTGCTCAGTCCAAGCCACTCCTGTGAACAACAGGGACTCAAGCACTTGACCTTGACAGCTGCCTCTCTGAGTCTCCCGTTAGCAGGAAGCTGGCATCAGGAGCAGGAGCCAAGTTTTAAACCCAAACAGAAGCCCCCTACTTGGATGCCTACCACTTTTTGGAATTTTAGATAAGCATAACCTCTGTGCTATTTTAGGTGAATTTAAGTAGATATGGAACGTGTTCACAAATTTATATGCTCCCAGCTCTCTCCCCTATAACTAGATTGTCCAAGATTAGTCTATGCTTGCTACCAAAATTATTTTGAACATATTTTATCCAGTGGTTTTGGTGAATGGATATAGATGCATAGCCTGACTACCATGAAAAGAAAATCAGAGGCTTGACCTAGGAGGGAACTTATAGTTAGCTTTTATTTCATGATTTATTACATGTTTATCTTGTTTCATGTCCTCTCCTGCCTCCATCCCCTGCCTACCTTGCAAATGCTACAAGACACTAAACTTCAGATTTAAAATAAGGACTAGAGTGGGTAAAAGTGGAAATTTCAGGATTGAGCATAGGTTTTTGCCAGTTCATATTACATTAACCAGGAAGTAGGGTGGGTGGCCTATATTTATTACCAAAGGAATATTGCATTTTAAATTTAAGTATTCAATACCCAGTATAATGAATTATATTCTCCTTGAACAGTAAGTAGTTGCAAGCTGTGTTTTTAATTCACTTTCTGCTTTTCTTACCTTCAAAATAATAAAGGATTCTCTGGACCAATGACCCTCTTACAGGGAAAATCTTTTAAATATTATCTGTGTTTTCCTTCAAGAATAAAATATGCTTTTTTTTCTAAAGCTGTTTATTTTGAAATAATTTTAGGCTTAACAAAATGTTGAGAGAACAGTATAAAAATTTCCATGGACTTTTCGTCCATATCCCTTGAATGTTAGTGTTTATCACAGTTACTTTATTTTTTGTTTACTATTTTCTAGGCAAGTTATGTGTTACAGGCTTGATCTTTCACCTCGGAAAATTTTAGGGTATATTTTTTTAATAACAAGAATATAATCTTATACAGCCACAATAAAATGAACAGTCTGGAGAGTAACATTAACATATTAATTTTTAATCTTAAAAAAAAGTTCATTTTAATCTGCTTAAAAGGCAGAGCAACAGAGAGCGAGAGACAGATAGTTCTTTCACTCACCACTTCAGTGTCCTAATGCAGTCCTTAGCTGGGGCTGGGCCAGCAAAGCTAGGAGCCCAGAACTCTGTCCCAGAGCTCTGTCCCAGTCTCCAACTTGGGGGAGGGTCAAGCACTTGAGCCTTTTCCTGCTGCCTTTCTGGGTGTGTTAGCAGGAGGCTAGATTGGGAGCACAGTAGCTGGGAATCAGCAGTCAGGTATGGCTTGAGGATGTCTTAAGCAACAGCCTAACCTGCTGTATCCAACATCTATTTGCTATAAGACCTGAATTAAATATTGCCAATTGATTTGTGGGCTTGTGCTTTTACTGCGAAAAAGTGACCCAGAATCCAATTCAGACCTAAACTTGCCTTTTTTCATCATGTCCTTTAGTGTTTTGTATTCTGTAACAATTCCTCATGATTTCTTTGTTTTTCATTTCCATCCTCTCTTCTTTCTGAGAATACAGATCAGATTTTAGTAGAATATACCTCATTTTGTCTGATGTCTTCAAGTTATTGGTTTAGGCCGTGAGTTTTTGGCAAGTAATATAGAAATGATGTGCTTGTGTCCTTCTCAAACTGTTATATTGAAGGCACACAATACCTTAGTCACTTGGTTAAGATGATGGCTACCATCTCCCTTCAAAATAAAGGGGAGATATCTGAGAGAAAATGTTCTGTGTTTCATCATTCTTATAGCTCATCATCCTGTTAATTTTTGTTAAAATATGTATTTGCTAATTTATTGAAATAGAGTTATAGAGAAACATAGAAAGAAATTAACTTGCACTAATGTACCCCCTCCCCTGCTCCAGCCCCTATCCCTACAAATTTCTTCAATAGTCAGAGTTAGACCATATCAAAGCCAGGAACTAGGAGCCCTGTCTGGATCTTCCGTGTGGGTAGCAAGGCCCCAAATACTTGAGCCATCACTTGGCTGCCTCCCAGATTGTGTATTAGTGGGAAGCTATAATCAAAAGTGGAGTTGGAACTGGAATCCAGTCAATTACATGTGGGATGTGAGACATCAAGTGGTACCTTAACTGCTATACTGGACTCCTACTCCTGCCTATTAGTTTTAGCACTCATTGCTAATTATTCCCTAAGCTCTTATTTGTGTGGTGGTTATTGAATAGTGACTTTTTTCTAATTCCATTTATTCTATATTTGTTCATTATCATCCTAAGCAGGAACTTTTCCATATTTAAAATATGGAAGATTTTATTAATTAATTAATTAATTAATTTAATATTTATTTATTAAAAAGATTTATTTTACAGAGAGGGAGAGAATCTTTCATCTGTTTGCTCCCCAAGTGGCCACAGTGGCCAGAGTTGGACCAGGCTGAAGGCAGGAAACCAATCTAGGTCTCCTGTGTGGATCCAGGGACCAAAGGATTTGGGTTGTCTTCCATTGCTTTCCCAGGCAATTAGCAGTGAGTTGGATCTGACATGGAGCAGCTGAGGCTGGAACCTGAGTATTGCAGGCAGTAACTTAGGCTGTTGGACCACAACATTGGCCTCAAGAGCGTTTTTCTTAACTTTTCTTTATTTCTGTTTGTTTGTGTTTGTTTCAATATGAACTTGAATAATCATTTAATTTTTTGTTATATTTTCTTTATTTCAAGGGTAGATTTACAGAGACTAGGTAGAGTCAGAAAAAGAAGGGATTTTCCATTCACTAGTTCACCTCTAGATGGCTAAAATAGCTGGGGCTGGCCCAAAAAGAAGCCAGGAACCTCTTCTGGATCTTGCAGACTGAATGAAATGGGGCCGAAACATTTGGGCCATCCTGTGCTGCTTTCCCAGGCACATTAACAGTGAATTGGGTCAGAAGTAGAGTGCCCAGGTGCCTATATGGGATTCTGGTGACACAGGTAGCAGCTTAACTGTGTCACAAACTTTTGAGACATAATTTATAACACCGTGAGACTTCCTCTTTTTAAATTGCACAGTTGAGTAGTTTCTGGTATATTAAAAAAAATTGTGCAATTGCTGCTATTTAATTTCAGAACATTTTTCCGCCATCTTTTTCATTACTCATGCAGACATGTCATGACCATTACTGGTTATTCCCCAGTCCCCACTACCCTTCCTTCTTGAAAACCAGTAATCTACTTTTTGTCTGCATTAATTTACTCTTAATGGACATCTTTTCTAAGCAAAATCATACAGTCTGTATCCTTTTGTGTCATGTCTGGCTTATTTAGCAAAATCCATCTGTGTTGTAAATCAGTACTTCATATATTTTTATTGTTAAATAACATCCTAGAATGTAGGTATATCAGATTCTGTTTATTCATTACTTGACAGACCTCTGGATTGTCTCTGGTTTATAGCTATTGTGAATAATGGTAGCATGAACATTCACCTGTATATTTTTGTTGAGTTATTTGTGGGCATTTATGTGGGGATGTCCAGAAGATCAAGGGAAATTTTCCATTATCTTTCTGCTTCATTTTCCACAATTTTTTTGCTTTTTTTAAAATTAATTACATTGTATTATGTGACACCGTTTCATAGACTCTGGGATTCCCCCCACCATTCCCCTTGCCCTCCCCCCATGGTGGATTCCTCCCCCTTATTGTGTAACCACAGTTCAAGTTCAGTTGAGATTCCTTCATTGCAAGCATATACCAAGCATAGAGTCCAGCGTCTTATTGTCCAGATAAGTTCAACCGCTTCTTGGGGAGACCTTCTCTGGTCTGAAGGTAGAGCCAACAGAGTAAAATCCCGATCAATTAAAAGCCCCAACATAACATCAGCAAGAATATATAACGTTATGCAATTAATTGACATAGTATTGAGTAAACAATATGTTAAAATTAAATGCAAGTTCTTAACAACATCCTGTGACTACTTCAATGACATTTCAACAGTTGAGGTGCAAAACAGTTATAGGAGGGGTGTGCAGAGAATTCTTCAATACCTTGGTGAGGAGTACTTAATCTTTGTGTCCTACCTAGTAAGGTATGTGTGAGTCCATGCTGACTAAGCTTTCCTTGTTGTTCTCTGCCTATCTATTCTAATTTGTGAGTGTGTGTGTGTGTGTGTGTGTGTGTGTGTTTGGTGGGGGGGGGCGGGGAGGCTCTGGAGCAACCCTGATGGTCATTGCAGAGAGGGTGGGGACCCAGAGTTGGAACTAAGTAAGGACCAGAGAAAGCTCCTCTCCCTAGTCCTGAAGAAAGTTTACTGTTCTGATTCTGAGGACCGCTCAGGGCTCCTGGCTGCTCCAATGAACTTGGATCCTATGAGGAAGGATTTGGGCTTCTTCCATCCCGTGTAGTAGGTCCAAAGGGGTAGGGGGATGTCCTCTGGGTTCTCGGGCTCCGAAGGCATTCCAGTTCCCCGTGGTCTCTTTGGCAGTTGGGATGTAGTCCTTGGCGCCGTACTGATAGTCCTTGGTGGGGATCCGGGAGTCTCCAGGGTTGGGATACAAGCCTCCTCCTGTCCCCCTGCTCCATTCTGGGGTCCCCCCCTGCTCTATGCATATGACCTCCTGTTAATAGGTTGTTAGGATCACTCTTGATCCCCCCTATATGTCTTTGTAGTTTTACTATTGTCTAATGCTGTTTTGAATCTATTGTCTATAAGTTACCTGTTATGTTCCTGATAGATTACACTACATGGCTTCCTCACACATCAAAGGAGATGGAAGATTTCTTTGCTCTCCCACCCCATTTCTAAGTAGCACAAGGTTTTGAAAGTATATTGGGTTTTACAATTTTTCAAAACACATGGGTTGAGACAGTATTAAATACAGGTTCATCTTAGGAAGATTTACTGTCCTTGGGAATCTTTAGGATTGATTCACGTCCCCAAAGCACTGAGGGTTCAGCATGGAGCTATCTAAGCAGCAATCAAAGAACCAAAATCCCAGAGCTCCCTGGCTGGGTGGCCAGCAGGCAGAGCCTAGCGCCAAATGGCGCATTGGCGTCCTGGTGGCAGCTCCCCACGTGTGCATGGTAGCCACAGTGTGAGATCCAGGTGTGAGATGCCACTGTCCTGGGGCCCCCCAGGCCCAAGTCCTGCACTTTCCTGGTCCCATCCCCAGCTGAAGCCCCCAGGCAAGCAGTGGGATGGCCCAGACCCGCTTCACAAACCTCCAAGACCTACCCCAAAGAAGGGTAGTCCACAGGGCTCCTGCAGGCCCAATGGCAGCTCCCCACAAGCGCATGGTAGCCACCAGGTGAGAACCAGGCATGAGATACCACCATCCTGGGGCCCTCCAGCCCCCATGCAGTGACTAGAAGTCCCCACAATTTTTTTTTTTAAGTTCCTTATAAATTTTCAGTTTTATGTATCTTGGAGTAGAATTGTTGTATCTTACGATAATTTTCAGTGACTATGTGAAAAACTTATTAAACTATTTTTGAATGTGGCTATATCACTTAACATTTCTACCACCATCTTATTAGGCTTCAATTTATCTATTCATATGTTCTCACATTTGCTATTGCCTTTTTTTTTAGCCATTCTAGAGAATAGTATCTAATTTTGGATTTGTCTGTCATTTCTCCATACTGTTGAGTATCTTTTCTTTCATTCATTTCTTAAAAAGATTTATTTATTTCAGAGTGGCAAAGAGAAGGGGCAGTCTTTCATCTGCTGGTTTACTCCCCAAGAGGTCACAATGGCCAGGGCTGAGCCAGGCTGACATCAAGAGGCAGGAGGTTCTTCTCGGTCTTCCACATTTGAGGCAGGGACCAAAATATTTGGTCCATCTTTTGCTGATTTTTCTAGTTCATCAGCAGGAAGTTGGATCAAAAATGGAGCAGTCAGGACATGAACCAGCTTCCATATGGCATGCTGATGTTGCAGGTGACAGTTCTGTTTATTGCAACACCAAGCCCTGCGCATCTTTCTATGAGTTTATTGGCTATCTGCACATCTTTTTTGATGATTGTTACATAGTTGATTAGTGTGTGAAGGGTCAAGGGCTAGAGGAAGGTGGGTGAGACCATTATTTCTACATTGTCTTTTTTCCTTCCTGTATCTGGGAAAGTGGGAAGATAAGGGGAGAAGCTACACCCAGACTTCCAGCCATCCACAGTCTCTGATGTGGGGCATACTCTGAGGGTCCTGTTCAAGTGTTTTTGATAGTTCAACAGTTCTGAATTACTGCTGATCTCGCCACTTCAAGCATGATGGAATCTCTCCATAATCCACTGGCTGACATAGTCCACCTTAGAGTCTCTATTTACCCAGATATTCACTGCTAACACTTGGCTGGAATCGTTGATCAATTGTTCAGTCCTCTATCTTATGTTATGGTACCAGGTGTCCTCTGCAGGCTCTAGTGTACTGCCATATCCTCCATGAGCAGCTGGATAAGCTGTCCATATATCTGTACATCTTCTTTGGAGAAGTTCCTGTAGAAATTCTTTTCCAATTTTTATATTGTTTTCGTATTACTCAATTTTATTTACTTTTTAAAAGATTTATTTTATTGGAAAGGCAGATATACAGAGAGGAGAAGAGGCAGGGAAAGATCTCCTGTCCACTGATTCATTCCCCAAGTGTCTACAGTGGCTGGAGCTGAGCCAATCCAAAGCCAGGAGCTTCTTTCGGATCTCCCACTCAGGTGGAGAGTCTCTAGACACTGGGCCATCTGCTGCTTCCCAGGCCACAAATAGGGAGCTGGAAAGGAAGTGGAGAAACCAGGACAGGAACCAACACCTATAAGGGATTTAGCCACTAGGCTATCATGCCAAGCCATTATAATTTAATTTTAAGAGTTCATTATTTGGCTTTGATTTACACTATCTTTTTCTAAATTGAGTGCTTAATTTTTTATTAAAGATTTATTTTATTTTTATTGAAAAGGCGGATATACAGAGAGGAGGAGGGACAGAGAGGAAGATCTTCTGTCCGATGATTCACTCCCCAAGTGAGCGCAACAGCCGATGCTATGCTGGTCCGAAGCCAGGAGTCTGTTCCAGGTCTCCCACGCAGGTGCAGGGTCCCAAAGCTTTGGGCCGTCCTGGACTGCCTTCCCGGGCCACAGGCAGGGAGCTGGATGGGAAGTGGGGCCGCCAGGATTAGAACTGGCGTCCATATGGGATCCTGGGCGTGCAAGGCGAGGACCTTAACCACTTGCGCCATTGCACCGGGCCCGAGTGTTTAATTTTTAAGTTAAAATAATCAGTCATTTATCCTCTTCAGTGGATTATACTCCTTTGCTTTAAATATCTAATAAGAAACATGCCAGGAGCATGTGTTAGTCTAACAGTGAAGATGCCTGTGTCTGTTGTCAGAGTATCGGGTTTGATTCCTGACACTGGCTCCTGAGTCTAACCTCTGCCATTGTAGACCTGGGGAGTGGTGGTATTCTTTTCTCTCTGACCTGAGCTTCCCTGCTGGCCCCCTGCTCCAGCCAGGCCCGGCTCCAGCTGTTTTGATCATCTGGAAAGTGAACAGCAGATAAGAATTCTCTTCTTTCTCTCTCTCTCCCTTTTCTCCCCTTCCCTTGCTCTCAGATGCCTCTTAAATTTTTAAGTATTGATGAATTCTCAATATGAGAAATAAAACACACAGTCATATAAACATCTGTGTTTCCTTTCCGGTTCCATTTTGTCTCTTTCTTCTCACAGATAAAAGAGGTGCATTTTTTTGATTCTTTAAGTAATGTAAGGATTCTTACATTAATGCCTTCATAGTAAAGTTCATTAGGCATTTCATATTGTATCCAAACTTGTCATGCAATTTGCATTCTACAGTTGAAGCATACCTTAATTGTAGAAGTCACTTTGTCATTTATAGTCTGCATCATTTTGTTAGTGGCACTAATCAAATTTATTTTGTGCTTTATTTTGGTGATAGACTTATTATGTTTAATAGTTTCTTTGGGATATTATATACATCATTCATGACATTCACCTTTGGATGGTCCAGTATTTCTAAATAACCTGTATCTAAAATTTGTTTAAGTTACTACATTGTCCTTCAAAGTTCTTAACAATTACCAGTAATTTTTATTAATGTATACTGTCTGACACTGGTTAGAACATACAGTAATCAAAGGGCACTTCTGGGTGGTTTTTTTTTATATTGTAAATTTAGAATTTTATAACTGTGATTACATAGATTTTACTCATTTCACAGTGTTCTCCCTGCTCCCAATAAAAACAAATTGCAAAGCTGTTAAAATATGGCAGCAAGTGGTTAAATTAGAGAAAAACCTCATCATTGTTTACATTATTCATTTGTATGAATATTTGTTTAAAGTTTGTGAAACTGAGCAGTCTTAAAAAGGTAATCCGTCTCCTGGGTTGATCAAGGGATCAATCTGGGCTTGTGTTCTTTGGAGTATGATTTTTTTCAAAGTAGTCTTTGATAAATCAGTTCTATTTATTAAAGCCTAACACTGATTATTGGCTCTGTGAAAGAGAATGTTGTATCTCTGAACAGTTCTACGTTGGTAAACTTTGTGTTCTTTAGATTATTAAACCCCAGGTGAATGGGCCAGGGCTCTTGCCTTTTAGTACCAAAATTTCCTAAATTTTAGTGTCTTGTTAGAATACAGATTAAAATATACTTCAGATAATTTTGGACTTTTTGATGATGTTTTTTCTGTGGTAAGAGAAATTATTAGTTAGAAATTATTAGTATAGAAATTATTAGTTTTGGACTAAAAATTTATATAATCTATAAAGAATTACTGCACTGAACATTGTTGTAGCCGATATTGACTCTAGTTTTGTGTATGATATTCACTCTTCTAAACTTGGACTTAGTAAGTGTATAAATGGGGCTAACTTTTTATATTTACTCCAAAAGGTAGTGTGAAAACAGAATTTAAAGAAATACATATTTGTGCCTTAGGTAATAAAATATTCTGTGAATTTGAGCAATATATTTGCGAAAAAGAATCTAAAGAAAGGATCATTTAAATTTTTTTTTTCTTTTAAGAGTAAAATTCCAGTTGGAATTAAAGCTGGGCACCCAAATAAGGTGAGTCATTTCTTCCTTGAATATTTCTGCTTCACATAGTGAAACCCTTTACTGATTGACAAAGGTGCAGTAGAGAAACACAATATGGTTAGTTGGAAATGGAGCCATTTTGTTTCAGAATCCCAAATCCCTAACTGTGGCAGCAAGCAGAGAGGTCCTCCATCCCTAGTTGCTTTTAAAATGACTTCATTTTTCTTTCAGAATGACTGTAGTTATCTCTTTGGAATTTCTAGAACTATGAAACATTAACTACATTGTGAGATCACTACTCAGCAGATGTTTATCACATGAATACAGTTAGCCTGTTAGGTTCAGGATTATACTTTATGAAGGCTTACCAAGATATTTTCAGCAAAGTACTTTTAATTCATATTAAAGCATTCCTTTAAAGAGTACATTTTTCCTCTGACGAGCATGCTGTAATTTATTTTTACATTCATATTTTTAGCCTGTATACATCTAGATTTTCAATTTTATACAAACAGAAGAAAAATATTCATACCCTCTCTGCTTTCCAATGTATCTCCATTTTATTTTCTCTTTTCAGTGGAGTCTTTTGTTTGTGCTTACTTTCTCATATATTTTTTTGTTTGTTTCAGATTTGTCAGAAATGAGTAAAACAGTAGAAAGACAGTTGAAATCTCCTGAATTCCATCCCAGTCTTACTCTGTGGGCTCCCACCCTAGAACTAACCATTTTCCTGAAATATTCAGTGATTTTATAATCTGATTCAGGGACATGTACAGATAATGTACTTTTGTTGCATGGGTATCCACAAATAATATACAGATGATTTTGTAGAAAATTCTTAAGAAGTAGTAAATAAAATTGTATTTTTATTCCAAGTAACAATATTTGAGGTCTCAGTTTTAACACTTGAAATTTTCTTCTCTGTTGATACATATGGCTCTTTTCATGCATCTTAATAGCTGTATGAGAACACTCATGGTTATTTGTGTAACTGTAGCATAGGTTAGCCTTTCCTTTCCCAGTGGTGGACATTTCAGCTGTTTCTGATTTTTTACTATTGTAAATAATGATGCACTGACATTTTTGTCCTTTGTCTCGTTTTGCACACATGTAAGAATTTCTCTGGAGCTATATTTAGAAGTAGCTGTAACCTACAGTATGCCTCTTTCAATATTACAAGAAAAATCAAATAAGGTAGATACAGCCTTAGGCGTGGAACTGCAGGCTCAAGGGATTTACATTTTTATAGCCTTAGATAAATATTGTCAGATTTATCCCCAGGGAAGTATGCTTTTTCAGTTTATATGATCAACAGCACAATATTAATTTGGTAAGTCTTTAGTATCTGTTCATTTAATAGGTAAAATTTTCTGTATCCTCATTTGTACTTAGTAAGTATATTAGGAATTTTGATAGTAGAATGTATATACATAGTGTGTACCATCACTAATATTAATTATTTTGCCAGGAAAAGCTGAAATGAAAAGAAAGCTAATAATTGTTATAACCCTTACTTACTGTGACCTCCCTTACAGTACTTGAAAGTGGCAAACAGTTCCAGAGAATTAGAAGATTGTGAGCAAGCTAACAAACTGGGAGCGATTAACAGCACCTTGAGGCAAGCTTTGTTTAGTTGGTATTAAGGAAATGTGTTCTTGTTTAGTTTATTTATGTTAATTTATTTTTCTTGTGACTGATAAAAATTTTTGTTAGGCATTAATATTTCTACTAAAAAACTTTTAAGAGGATGAAGTTATTCTGTATCCCATGATAGTTTTGTTTTTTCTTGGATGATTTGTTCTTAAATTTCTAGATAGTAAATTGGCAATAATTAGTAAATCTACTAAAAATATAAGAATACAAAAACAGAAATTTAGAACTGATCAGCTGGCCAACATTATGCATCTGTTTTTCCTGACGTGTATTAGAAAAGGATCCTGAACCAGTAAGTCTTTTATAAACTCAATCTATATGTTGTACATTTTTAAATGGTAAAAATTGCGGATAGTGTAACTGTTAAGTAGATTTTTTTGTTGGCTTTTCCTTATTTGCTCTAAGCATCAGTATAAATTAATTTATAAATGGTCACAAGTATGCATTGTAAAATGAATGAATATGATCTCTAATTAAGAATTGAATAGTTAAATTTTTAAATTTCCTTTTGTTTAGATTTGTATTTGTGGGCTATAATTTCTGATGTACAATAAATAGTATTATAATATTTATTAAAAAATTTTAATTCAAAAAGAGAATATTATTAATATCCACATGACTCCATTCAAGTGAAAAGATGTTAATATTGTCTACCTTTTTTTAAAGAAACATCATAGATAAATTTAAAATTCTTTATCTTCTATTTAATCCTGTTTTCTTTTTTCATTCTTAGAAGTAACTGCTATCATGACTGGTGTGTGTCAAAACAACGCTTTTGCTTTTCTCATCTATTTAAAAATAATTTATAGTTTTATTTTTTATATGTGATATCACATTTCCTTAATATAAACCTTATTTAATGTTCCTTAACATTCTTTTTTCATTATGTATTTTCCTTTTTAAGTCTGTCCATTTTGAAAATAGATATTTGTCTCATTCTTTTCACTGATGAATGCTTTTCTTCATATAAATAGTATTTTACTTATCTTTTCCTACTGATAGATATTTAGGTCATTTCTAATAGATCATTACACAAAAACTGTGACACCTTTAGCATTCCTGAAAAACAATGTTTGGTTTGGTTTGGTTTGGTTTGGTGTTTGTAAGCTAGAAGTTTAAACTGTCAGCTTCTAGAGTTGTCTACTTGCACCTGTTTGTGATAATGGCTCCAGAGTACGAATGTGAATGTATGCGACCTACCTACAGTGTAAGGAGTTTTATTCTCTACATGTTTGATACAAGTTGATAATGTTTGATGAATATATAGTGTCTCATTTCATTACTATGTAAGTTTTATACTTTGTGATTTTTAGGTATGTTTATCAGACATTTGCACTGTAGGGTCCTAGGAGCACAGTAGTGTATATAACAAACACAGTTTCTGCCTTCATGAGGGTTAATCCTCATCAGGAAACAAACAACGAAGTATTTGAGGAGTGAATAAATGATGATGAGTGCAGGGGTAAAATGTAGAGGAAACCATTAAGAAAGCTAGATGTGAAGATACTGTTTTAACTAGAACAGTCAAGGAAGACTATGATAATAGGACATGAGTTAAAACATGGGCTCCTGGAGGATGAGTATTCCAGGTATAAATGTGTCAGTTAAAGGACCCTAGACTATTAGAGGAACCAAAAGAGGGCCAGTGTAACTGCAGTGTATTAGTCAAAGGCAAAGGCCAAAGGTCAAAAGATGGGAGCAGGAGGTCAAGAATTCGGATTCATAGAGATCTCACAGAGTTTTAAAGGCAATTATTATGTAATGACTCTTGCTTTTAAACTGAGTGGGATGAAAAGTTGCTAGAGCCCAAGAGGGTTGAGCCTTACATTGAGGAAGTCTGGCTAATTTGGCTACTATAGTAATCCAAATTAGTTTTTTAGACCAAGGTGATGGCAGTGGAAACGATATGAGGTACTGAATTTCTGGAAATAATTTTTTTCAGTAGTAAACAATATATTATTACATCTGAAGCTTTATTTTTTTTAATAACAAACACATCCAAACATATTTAAAACTGGAGAATAAAACGTAACCAAGTTAAGTAGAAATAATTTCTTTTAAAAGAGTAACGTGAAGTTAAATAGAAGTAAAGGTTTATTTTTATTTGAAATGCAGATCTACAGAGAGAGGAGAGACAGAGCGAATCTTCTATCTTCTGATTCACTCCTCAGATAGCCATAGTGACTTGAGCTGAGCCGATTTGAAGCCATGAGCCTCTAGGCTTTCACGCGAGAGCAGGGCCCAAGGACCAGAACCAGGCCATAAGTAGGAAGTTGTATAGGAAATGGAGTAGCTGGGACTCAAACTGGTGCCCCTTATGGAATGCAGGCAGAGTATTAGCTTGTTACACCACTCTGTCAGGCCCTGGAAATATTTTGAAGATAGACATATCAGCATTTGCTGAAGGATTAGATTTGGCATATGAAAAAGACAAGAACTTTATTTTTAGTAGGAAAATGTAATTTCTTTTTTTTTTAATGTAATCTCTGTCACAATTGTTTTGTTCACTTTACAACATCAGACCTATCTTGTTAAGCACTGTTATAGTTTGTCATTTTTAGCCGTAACTAAAAATGGCATCAGATCTTTCTGGATTTAAGTATGACATAGATCTTTCTATTAACTTTTATTAAATTATGTTTCTATAGAGAAAAAAAGAATCTCTTGGTATGTTAAGATGGGAGTTGAGATGGCAGTTGAAACAACACAGCAGCCTTAGATATTTCTTTGTCATGATTATGTTATATGGCAGCTGACCAAATACAACATAAATTATTGAGTTTCACAGTATCCCATTGAAAAATTATGACTTATATTTGGTTCACACTTCTTTTTAAAATAGTGTTTTCCCTTTGTGTTGTGAATAAGGAGAGTAGCAAAATGATGCATCTTTGATAGATGTTGTCATTGTGTATTCAAAATAGAGAACCTGAATATAAGCTAAAGTGAATGCAGATCAAAGTTTATCTGAATGGATGTAGTTGTACTTTTCAGTTCTTCAGGATAGGAAAGTTGATAATTTATTTTGTTAAATTTAAGGTAGTGTAAAAGGAATGATTTACAATAAAAAACTGACGTTTGGTAACCAATAAATACCACATTTATTGAAATATCATAGAAATGTAATTCTCAGTTTTTCATATCCTATAAGTATAGAAGCAATTTAAGTTAAAAGAATTTAATTCCTGTTTCAGGGAGCATTATAATAATTGCTAAGTCAGTTAAAAGGTCAGCTAAAATTTTATGTTTTTAACTAGTGTTATATGTATTTTAAAATTAATTTCTAGTCAAACTATTATTGAACTTAGGCTAATAATAATTTTAATGAATAAGAAATGCACTCATGAAAGTTAATACCTATATTTATAGTAACTTATTTTTTTGTCACTTTCATGTAACTAATGACAGAATTTGTGACATCATCTAATAAAAAATGGCCTCAGTTTATCTATTTTAATTGCACTAGAATGCAGTAGTAAAATTTTCAACTCCAAATTTAATTATTTTTCTTTTTTTATTCCTCCTTCCCATAGTAATCAAAGCAAAGAAGCTTTCATTGACTGGGCAAGATATGATGATTCACAGGACCATTTTTGTGAACTTGATGGTAATAAAATAAACTACTATCCATCTTAACTTTAATCCTTTTATAAGACATGAATCCATGAAAATACCTGATGAGTTTTTGCTTTCACACTAGATTTTGCTATGTAAATCTTGTTATTTTTTTTAAAGATTTTATTTTATTTTTATTGAAAAGGCGGATATACAGAGAGGAGAGACAGAGAGGAAGATCTTCCGTCTGATGATTCACTCCCCAAGTGAGCGCAACGGGCCGATACTATGCCGATCCGAAGCCAGGAGCCTCTTCCTGGTCTCCCACACAGGTGCAGGGTCCCAAGGCTTTGGGCCGTCCTCAACTGCCTTCCCAGGCCACAGGCAGGAAGCTGGATGGGAAGCAGGGCCGCCAGGATTAGAACTGGCGTCCATATGGGATCCTGGGCGTGCAAAGCGAGGACCTTAACCACTGCACCACCGCGCCAGGCCCTATCTTATTATTAATGACAGCATTTATTAAGAGCCTATGTTCCAGGTCTTGTGTTAAGTGTCATAAATTATTTCTTATGTGAGTGTGTGTGTGTACATATATATATATACACACACACACACACATATGTGTGTATATAATGGTATCTATATCTATATATTTCACTCATTTGAAAGAGTTAAAGAGAGACACACACACACACACACACACATATGTGTGTATATAATGGTATCTATATCTATATATTTCACTCATTTGAAAGAGTTAAAGAGAGACACGGGGAAGGAGTGAAGTAGAGAGAGATAACTTCCATCTGCTGCTTCCAATCCCCAAATGGCCAAGACATCTGGGGCAAGAGCCTGAAACTCCATCCAGATCTCCCACATGGCTGTCAGTTGACCTGGTACTCAGGCCATTCTCTGCTGCTTTCTCAGGCTCATGAATAGGGAAGTAGATTAGAAGTGAAGCAGCCTGGATTCAGACTGAGCTTATCTTGGTTACTGGCCTTTGCACACAATTGCTTGGCTCACTAAACCGCAACACAGGCCTTATTATTTGTAGTCTTCATAGCTACTTGAATAGATGTGTGTTCTTTCATATTTGAGAAAACTGATTGTCACAAAGATGAATAACTTTTTCAGAATCGCATAATAGCATAATAGCAACAGAGATAGTATTTGATTGCAAATATGAAGAATCTAAGACCGGTATTATTTCTGTTTTGACATACTATTTCCCATGAACTTTCAGTTGAAGTCCCTTAACTACAGAGACTTCAAAAAATTCACATAAAGATGCCCTCCAATGTTGAAGATTCTAACTCAACTTCTGCACAATGCTCTTTCAAAGAATTCCTAGAGTGGTACGAAACAAGACACTGTCCAACTGAGTAACTGCCACAGTATCTAACCAAAGTCAGTTGCAGTGACTCTAATTTCTTGTTATATATGGGAGAATGTTCCCAAAGAATTGTGCTGGGTAGACGTTACTTATTTGGCTTCTCAGTCGTTTACTTTGGTTTTGCCACGTTTCTGGTGGTGGGAAAGAATCTCCACCTGTGCATAGGCAGCAGCGGTTTTTCTGAAATCTTCAGGTGTCTGGAGAGATCATACTGCTTTTTAAATGTTTAAAAAGATTTGCAGGGGAAAATGTGCTAATAATCCAAACTTCAATAGAGTAAGTTACAGTAAGGTTCTATCACAGTATAGTAAATAGAGAAGAATGTTGAGAGGTATAATCTTGTTATCATGGGTTACTTTGATTTTAGCAAGGAAATGTTTTTTTCAAGAAATCTGAGTATTTGGATATACTAATGGGCAACTAATAAAATATCTATTGTGCTGCTTAGATCAGAAAAGTTAGTATCAAAGCAAGCTATTGTACCTGTGTTAAATACTTCCAACACTGCATATAAAACCATTCTAAAAACCACTACTTTTCTGAGCACTGACGGTCAATGATTTATAACCTAAGGCTTTTTATTACTGTAGGGTAGCTTTCAAGTCACTATTTAGTTATTCTTTATCTAAATTCAGTACAATAAAATGAGAATCTAAGGACTATCACCCTAATTTATTCAGGAATGTATCTATACCATCTTGCTCCCTTCTGTTTTACTGGGTTTTTTTTGTCTTTATTTAAATGGAAGATGATTCCTTTATGATTCCTGTAGCTAAAATAGCTGTTTTAAAATTAATTTAGGGCCTGGCATGAAAGCGTAATGGTTAAAGTCCTCACCTTGCATGCGCCGGGAATCCATATGTGTGCAGGCTCTAATCCTGGTGGCACACTTCCCATCCAGCTCCCTGCTTGTGGTCTGGGAAAGCAGTCGAGAATGGCCCAAAGCCTGGGGACCCTGCACCCCTGTGGGAGACCCAGAAGAGCTCATGGCTCCTGGCTTCGGATTGGCTCAGCTCCAGCTATTGCAGCCACTTGAAGAGTGAACCATCGGATGGAAGATCTTCCTCTCTGTTTCTCCTCCTCTCTTTATATCCACCTTTCCAATAAAAATAAATCTTAAAAAAAAAATTTAGCATTTAAAGTTTTTAAAATCTGCTGCTCCCTCTACCCTACATGTTTTTGTTATGTCTTTATTGCATGGTTTGCTGTCTTTGGCTCATGTTCTGCTCAAATGTCATTTTGCCAGAGTAGCTGTAATCATCCTGAAACAACAGCCATTGTACCCTCTTTGCACTGCTGGTTTCTGGCCCAAACCCCTTAGCGCCAACAACTTCCTGAGGTGAACTGACATATTGCTTAGTTTATTGGGCTATCATTTGTCCTTTCTGACTACCTTGTTAGCCACTGGAGGGGAAGGGCTTCATTCCCTTGGCTTTCTTCTGTGTCCCCAGTGCCCAGAACAGTGCGTGCACATGGAAGGTGTTCAGTCAGTATTTGCTGAATAAAGTAATTAGCTTGTAAATAATGGGATCAATTTTTGCTTTTTCATTTTTCCCTTAAATACCTTCATTAATATATTTTAAATGCTTAAAACAATTATTAATCTGGCTGTATGTCAAAATTACTTGAGAGATTTAGAAACCAGATTATTCTTGATTGTATTATTTAGTGTAAAATCAGATATACAGAGAGGAGAGACAGAGAGGAAGATCTTCTGTCCCATGATTCGCTCCCCAAGTGAGCGCAATGGCCGGTGCTGTGCTGATCTGAAGTCAGGAGCCAGGAACTTCCTCCGGGTATCCCACACGGGTGCAGGGTCCCAAGGCTTTAGGCTGTCCTCTACTGCTTTCCCAGGCCACAAGGAGGGAGCTGGATGGGAAGTGGAGCTGCCAGGAATAGAACTGGTGCGGAAATGGGATCCTGGCGTGTTCAAAGCGAGGACTTTAGCTGTTAGGCCACTGTGCAAGGCCCAATTTTATTAGAAGAGTAAGTTAGTAGAAGTTTGGGGTAGGGTTGGTAATGGAGGGGTATTCACTCATTCTTGAGTCCATATACACTGTTAAAAAAAAAAACCTGTGACTTTAGACAAAATCCTATGCCCTAAGTTATCCTGTTACCATTATGTTTTAAGAGTATGTAGATTGTGAAGAAGGAAGGAATATCTAGCATCATAGATAATGCAGTCTAACCTAATAACACTGGTCTCAAATTACAGTGAAAATCCAGTTGGAAAAACTGATATATTTGAGGAGGAAAATAAATTGAGTGAATTTGAAAAACTAGAATTTTTGATTCAGTGCAAATTCTTTGAATCCTCAAATGGTACAGTGATATAGGAAGATCAACTTTGGAGCAATTTAATAGAAGGAAGAAGAGAAAAATATTGGGAGGAGGGTCATGGTTGAGATCAAGAGAGAATTATCTGAATGAATGGTATACCTGCAGAGGTGAAGAGGAGTTATAATTTACTTGCAGATTAATTAATAGGTCAGTGCCGCAGGTGGTCCAGGGCAAGGAGAGTCACTCACATTGACTGCTGCACTTAAGGGGGCTTCAGCCTCTATCTGCTTTCTGCTCCACACATTGCTCATTCTCAGTGTCATGAGATTCTTGTTTTTATAGGTCAGGAACTGACAAGCTTTTTCAGCAAATAGATGAAATTTTAGGCTTTGTGGGCTATATGGGAGTATATAATCTCGCAAATACTCTGCCATTCTATTGGGAATTTCATAAAGCTGATGGGAAATAGAATTAAAAGATGATTTTGATGCAAAATTTAAAAAAAAAATATTTGAGAAACAGAGCAACTTGTAGAGAGACAAACAGGCAGACAGAGAGATCTTCCAGCCACTTGTTTATTCTTTGAATGGCCACAATAGCAAGGTTTGGACCAGGCTGAAGCCAGGAGCCAGGAACTCTGTCCTGGTTTCCCATGTGGTTGGCAGGAGCCCATGTAGTTGGGCCATCTTCAGCTGCCTTCCAGACACATCAGTGTTAGGAAACTCAAACCAGTACTCTGACAGGATGTTGGTGTTACAGACAGCAGCTTGACTTCACTACACCCAAGTGTCAGCTTCGTAAACACACCGTTTAATTCCATTTTTCCAGAAACCTGCTGAAGTGCTCTAATGTTAAGAGGTAGTAAGGAAATGAACCATGTCTGTGTTCTAAGAAAATTTATTTTAAAAAATGGCAACAGGCTAGATTTGTCCTATGAGATATAGCGTGCCAGTGTTTTATATGTTAACAAAATTCACCCTTTCAAGATTTAAAAGCTTTTTAAAGTTGTATCTACCATCTACCATTTTGAAAGGAGGAAAAAGTTCTTCAGTATGTCAACACTGGTAGATGAAATAAATTTGTAAAGTTGATTTCTTAAAACTAGAGCATTATGAAAAAGACAAAAACCTAGAGCATTATATAGCTCTGGATTACAAAGTCATTAATGTTTTATGTATTTGTTTATGTAAAAGGCACAGTGACAAAAAGAGGAGAGGGCCTGGCACAAAGGCTCAGTTGGCAAATCTTCCCCCTTTAAGCACCGGATTCCATATAAACACCGATTTGTCCTGGCTGCTCCGCTTTTCAACTAGCTCCCTGCTTATGGCCTGGGAAAGCAGTAGAGATAGCTCAAAGTCCTGCGACCCTGTACACAAGTGGAGACCCAGAAGAGGCTTCTGACTGCTGGCTTATGGATCATCTCAGCTCTGGCTGTTGGGGCCACTTGGGGAGTGAGCCAGTGGATGGAAGATCTTTGCCTCTCCTCTTTTCTGGAACTCTACCTTTCCAAGAAAGTAAACTTTAAAAAAAGAAAGACAAAAGAAATATGGGGAGCTATAGTTTAGGGGTCATTTACAATATACTCTTGTTCTGAGTGGTTTGGCCCCATGACTCTGCCTACTTTCCTCTGTGTTCATGTGAACCAGCAGATGGAAGATCTTTCCCTTCGTCTCTCCTTTTCTGTGAATCTGATCTGCCTTTCCATACTTCATCTTAGCCAAAAGTCTGAGAAGCGATGATCTGCCTTTCCAATAAAAGTAAATAAATAAAAGAGCACTGAGCTTCCAAAGGAAGGGGAAGAATTACTCTTTCTTCTCTCTTGTTTCATGTTGTTATGCATTCCTTGTGAATTGCAATCACGAGTGTGCTAACCAGTGTACCATTTAAGCTGGAGATGACAACAAACACAAAAAACCCCAGAACTAACCTGTTTGCTTTGTAAATGCTAAATTTTAGGTAAATGGTGAACTGCGATATTTTGTATGAAATTTTTCTTCTTCAGATGAGCGATCTCCAGCTGCTCAGTATGTAGACCTGCTGCTGAATCCAGAGCGTTACACCGGCTATAAAGGGTCCTCTGCGTGGAGAGTGTGGAACAGCATCTATGAAGAAAACTGCTTCAAGTAACTGGACGGGCTGGGAGGCCGAGGACTGACTAAAGGGCAGGGGATGGGAATCTTGGTTTCTGCTGTAAAAAATATCTAAGGGTCAAACTGTGTGGATTTTCTTTGCTTTCTTTTTCAGGCCTCGGTCTGTTTATCGTCCTTTAAATCCTCTGGCACCCAGCCGAGGTGGGTTTTCCATATATTTTCATGCCTTTTGAAACTTGTTTATAAAATGCCTTTATAACTACATGTTGATAACCATTTCATTGTCTGGCTTAATTTAAATGATAACAATACTGTTAAGCCTCAGGATTTCTGTACCTTTCATTTAATCATCAGCCATTGAGCACCTGTTGTATGCCAGACCCTAAAGTAGCTTTAATGCAAAACATATTGGAATGTGCCAGTAATCCTCCATAGCAGAAATTTCCTGAGGAACTCTTAAAAGTATGGATGTCAAGGACCTTCCCCATACTAAAGTCAACATTCTTGGATGAAAACTTGGGTGTTGGTATTTTTCTTACACCTCTCCAGATGATCCAGGGTGCAGCCAAGTTTGAGAAGCAGTAGTTCTTAGCAGTGCTTCTCAAACTTCACTGTGCATACAAATCACCTAAGAGCATTAGTAATTATACACGTGCTGATCTTCTTGGTCTTGGGTGATATCCAGTATTCTAGGAAGCTCTTGGGTAGAGTCCAGGATGCCAACCCAAGTATACCAATCGCTAAATCAGAAGACTAGAGAAAGGAGTTTCAGAATCTCAGGCTACCTTCAATAAGACCTTGGACCTGCACTTTCAGCTAGGGTGGCTAGTTACCACAGGGGGTTGTTGAGCAAAGAAATGTGGTTGTTATGAAACTGAATTTAAATCTTGTAATTTTTTAAAAAAACTAAACCAGTGTGAAATATTGTTGTCATTATACAAAACTTTAGTAAGAATACTTTAACCTTTGCATCACGTAGCGTATTATTGTCACATTATGTATATATATACTTCTTACTCTATTATCTACATCAGTGGCTGGCACTGAATTACAGTGGGACAACATTGTAGTCAGTTTGACACAAATTTATTTTGTCCTCAGTAAGAACCATACCCTGAGAACAGTTCTTTAATTGACCTGCCTTTCCAGTGTTTTCTTTAGATCAGGATTGTTTTAAGAATTGGAGTTTCCTGGTCTAGGTTTGTATCTGTAAGACTTTGTGGAGGAAAAATGCATTTAAAAGGGTTGAATGCATGGAATGCTTTTAGATGACCACTCTATAGCAGTGTGGCCAACACTTCCTCAAATCCATGCTCTAAATGCCTGGAGAAAGAATTGTCTCACAAAGAAGGCCTGTGTGACTGGTTTTCCTTTGTCTCTCTTCCTGCTTTTCTCATCACAACTTTGTCTTTTCATCTTACATGTTCTAATTACAGAAAAATGTGTAAACATTGAAGCAGTTTAGAAGTTGTAAAAAAAGGAAAATGCTCTCCCCACCTACTCACCCACTTTTCTATTCCATGGTGCAAAGTCTGTTAATTATTTTTCCAGACCTTCTCTATGGGCATTTAAAGTAAAATGTAATTGTTCAGTTAATTAAACCACCAAGTCCTAAGAAGAACTTCACTTATGTGTTACAAGTTAAACATATGGAACTGCTGGAAAGGTGAAAGGAGGAAGGGAACCACTGCATAAGAAAAGACAGAGGAAGAGGAGAAGAGAAAAAAAGAGTTTCTTGAAGCTGTTATAGAAGTGTTCCATGAAGTGATTCAGTAGCTCTTGTAAATGCTGTGTGTTACCTCATTTGAAATTGCAGATTTCCATCTTTAAACGTGCTTCTTCCACATTCCTTCTGAGTTCTAACAGCCAGGTGTCTACACCTTTTTTTTTTCAACAGTTTTCAAGCAACAGAACCTTTTTTTTTTTCCCAAAAATGAAATCTGTTAGAATCCCACATGTAAAGCTGATAGAGGTAGAACTGCTCAGAAGCTCTTGAGCTCATTCATACCTTCTAGCCTCTTCCCCACTCCTAGGCAGCTGGGAAGCAGTTACCACATGAGGTTTCAACAATTGCTCTTAATGTCTGTGCTGAAGAGCAGTAATTTAACCAGTTCTTTTAGCAAGGAAGCAGTCGTGTTCAGAGAGGGTTGTGTATCCACATGTTTAAAGGAGCAGTTTCATGTGTTTATTAGAACTAGAGATCTTTGGGGGTGGACTTTGTGATATAGTGGGACATCTGTATCCCATATTGGAGTGTTAGCTCAAGCTCTGGCTACTCTGTTTCTGATCCAGCTTCTTGCTAGTACATCCAGGAAGGCAAATGTTGGTCATATACGTGGCATCTGCTTGGGAGTGAACCGAATGGGAGAGTAATAACTCTGTGTGTGTGGGTGGGTGCATGTGCGTGTTTGCCACTCTATCTTCAAATAAATAAATCTCTTGTAAAAAAGAGAGAGAGAGAAATCTTTATGATCATTTCTAGCTTTTTAGTTTTCTGATATACTACTGAAAGTTTAAAACATATGAAAATTTTAGACTTTTGACCTGTAATCTTATTAAGAAGCCTCATTTACAGGATGACTACACAGTGACCAAGGCTCATGAAATAATAGTTTAAAAAAGTGGTAAGCCTTAAGTCCATATTGAAATAAACAGAATTGGATTTTGAGCTGTATTAGATACTTTTCTAACATACTTTCTACTATTTTCTCTTTTAGGTGAAGATAATGGTGAGATAAAACTCGTGTATTTGCTTCAAGTGTAGAAGAAGTGCTTCTAATGGTCAAAATCTTATTTTCCTTTATTTGAGTCAAAAGAAAATGTTTGCCTTTTCTAGACCATAACCACTAAAAAAAAAAAATCATGTTTTATATATAACAAGGTAGAAAATAAGTTTACCATTTACTGGTTATTACAACCTTCTTGAATATGTTCAGGGGAAATGTACAGAAGTTAATAAAGCGTTCCAGATAATTTGTCTTGTGACCAGTTTTTTTTATTTTAAAATTTATAACTTTAATTATAGTTAATTCAATGAAGAGCCAACTTGTAAACCATTGGTTACTTCAAATTACTGATTAAACATGTCATAAGGTACCCTCAAAGAATCAAAATAATAATTTGAACTAAATGAAAACATAATGTCTTCTAAGAGGTGATGGTATGTAGTAGAAAACAGAAGCACTTTATATGAATAGTTATAACAAAGCACAAGATACTACATAGTACAGAAAGTAGGTGATATCGTTTCTTAGGGACAAATCAATGCTCCAGTGATATGGGAAAGCTTGTGGGAGGAGATAGCAAACGAGGTGAAATTTGAATAACAGGATGGATGCAGGTCAGTAGAATTGAATAATATGTGCTAGTTGGATTCCTAGCTGCAGCATGTACCTGTGATTTTAGAAAGGAAAAGTTGAGCCTACCAGAGAGACGCTTAGCAACAGAAGAGAGTGTTGGTAGATTATATGACAAAGCTCGATGGAGGCCAAATTATTGAAGACTTTATGAGCTACATTTTTCCAGTTGTAAGTTGATGTTTTTGAACAAGTAAGATAAAAATGAATGATGACTTAATCAGTAGAAGGATGGTTGTGGTTTTTGCAGAATGAGAACTATGAAGAAGCAAAGTAATAGCACCCCATCATTTGTTCCCTTGAGTTCCTACTCAGCATATCTCTGTCATTCTTTTTCAGTTAAAAAAAATAGTAAAGATCTGTATTTTAAGAAGCAGATCAACAATTTTACTCTTTATGGACTGCCGTGTTTTCCCTCTTCATTCAGAAAAACAGTGTTAGGCCACAAATAATTCTTTTTAATTGACAGCTAAAAATTATATGTACTTATCATGTCCAACATGATGTTTTTAATATATATACACTTAGGAATGGCTCAGTGGAGCTAAATAATAAAAACATGTTACTTCCTTATTTTTTGTGTGTGATTAAAAACACTTAAGGTCTGTTCTCTTGGCAGTTTTTTGAGAATGAGATAGAATATTATTAACCATAGATATGATGTTGTACAATAGAGCTCTTGCACTTCGCAGTGTAATTTTGCATCCTTTGTCTGACATTTCCCCATTGTCATGAATAGTTCCTGTGACTCAAGTACTTAGATAAATCAGTTTCTTCCAATTTTTATTCATTAACTTTCCTGAAGAATTATATTTAAAATTAAGAGATTTTAAAAATTTATCAAAATTTGGTAGTTCTATATCATTCAGGAACTGTATTTAGTTTTATTGGCTTAAGAAAGTGAAGTAACTAATAATTTGATTTTCTCAAACTTACTTAGAAGTATTACAGTTATTAAAAGCAAAAACTGCCTTAATTATTTTCAATGGATAAGATTTATATAATAGCTTTGACTGAAATGTTTTCACAGAATTTTTAATAGTGAAAATATCTTTTGTGAGAATTTTCTCTTAGGTTGTTTAAATCACTTGTAAAATTTATTTCCTAGAACATACTGTGTTTCCCACTTTCCCTGAAATATATACATTTCTAGGGATAAATACTTCTTAATCTTAATCTTCCTTTAATAAGAAATATTTAATAAATTTAATTTATAAATGTTCATTTAAAATATTTTAACTGACTCCCCCTATTCTGTGTTTTTTTTTTCTAGGTGAATCATTTTATACATGGTTAGAAGGTAAACTTATTGTCTGTTAAATTCAGTGACTTTTTGTTAAAAGTTTTTATTATGTTCTTACAAGTTTTTGGATTTTTATTGTCCTGACAAACTAATTTTGATAGTGTTTGGAAGAAGATAACATACGCTTTAGGTTGCTAAATTTGGGAATATAACTATGTAAAAAAATTTGAGGCTATTGGTCAGCCAGAAATGCATTAGATACTTTTGTATTCCTGTATTGTCAGTGTTGAAAATATAAAATGTTATTAATGGGAAGCAGAAATGTTCTAGATCTTGAGAGCTTAGATTAATCACTGGTTATGTTGTATTTTTCCAAATTTACAAAATTTCCTTGGTTTATAAAATTGGAAGAGTATGTATTAGTGGTGTTCCATAGTCATAAACTTTTAGAGTTAAACTAAGTAGTTAACTCTGTTTTATGTTTATTAACTGGTAATGTTACCTTAGGAACATAATTCCCCTTCATTTTTATTGAACTGCATGCATCAGCCATTACTAGCGTGAACATTATTATGCAAATACTGTTGGAGTTATATTGAAAAAGAGGGTGTGTAGAAGGTGCTTAGTTTGTTTAAATATTAAGCTCTACTCTAAAGATATTAGAGAAGACAGCATGTAGGTTAAAAGAGAGACTCTGAGTGTTGATAACAAAGGATAAGAATGGACACTCGGGTAATGTTGTATTCCTGGGATGCTGTGCTGCTAACCACTCCTGGTATCCCCATGCTGCCTGACCATGAGTGTGTTGATATGTAGTTCCAGGGAGCCTCTTCTGAGTTGAGTTTCTTCATCCGGTGTGTAAGAGTAGCAATAGTAATCTTATTTATGTACATTATTGATGTAGATGATAGCTATAAAAATTTCTTTGAAAATGTCTAGATGTCACATCCTATTGTTGCAATTAACCTTTTGTGTGAGAAGTATGTGTGTCTGTGTGTGTGTTCGTGTGTTCCACAAGCTGGCAATTCCAAAAATTGGTAGAAAAAGCATTATTATAGGAAAAAAACTGAATGGTTTTCCAATTTTTGCACCAAAATAAGCTTTTCTTTTCATTCTCAATTCCCACCAACTTTTGAAGTGCCCTGATACATTTCTGCTCTTTTTTCCTCACTTAGCATCTCTCCTGTTCCAGGCTAATGAGCTGGGTCAACCTCCCAGTTCTGGGCTCTGATTTTTAGGCATATACATTTTCAAGAGCTTTGCTTTGCTTACTGTCCCTTTTACAAAACTGTATTTGCAGCAGCACTGATACACAACAGACATTTATTTTTCTTTTTGCAACTTTTGGCTCCCACATATTAAGGGAGAACATGCAGTATTTGTCCATCTGGGTGCAGATTATTTCTCTTCATATGGTGTCCTTCAGTTGGGCCCATTTGGCTGCAAATGTAGAACTTCATTCTTTTTAGTAACTGAAAAAGTATCCCATTGTATGTATACATCATATTTTCTCTGTCTGTTCATCTACTGATGGAAACCTTGACTGATTCCAAATGTTGGCTTCTGTGATCAGTGCTGCTGTAAACATGGTGGTGTAGGTATCTCTTGGATTCATTGTGTTAAAAATTTGGTGAAGAAGGGTTTTTTGTTTTTAAGATTTTTAATTTGTTTAGAAGGTAGAATGATAGGAAGAAAGGGAGAAAGGAAGAAAAATTTCTGTCACTGGCTCACCCTCAATTGGCCACAAAGCTGGGGCTGGGTCAGACTTAAACCAGGAGCCAGAAACTATCCAGGTCTCCCGTTTGGGTGTCATGAACTCAAGTACTTGAACCGTCATCTGCATCTGGGTGTCCCAAGTAGTGGCTTAGCATTCCTTGATGAAAATTTGTATTAGGAAGTTAGTTAATATTTAATGTTTTCTTAAATATGTCTGTGTTATCACAAATATTCAAAATTTACTTTAAACTTTTAAGAGTAAACTACAAAATAGAATTTAACTTTTACTTTTTTATCTGTGACAGTTCACATAACCTAGCAATAATTAGGAAATGAGGCCTTGAATCATATTTTTTTTTACTCAAGACTACATACCTCGATTGTAGGACAGTGACACAGATTGAAAGAGAGAGAGAGAGAGAGAGAAGAAATAAGTATGAATGAATCAATAATCTAAAAGGTCCTATAAGTCTGGCAATTGCTCTAATAGTTAAGATATCCTTGGGACTTCTGCATACCAGTTTCCTGCCAGTGCATAACCTGGAAGATACCAAGTAATGGTTTAAGTTCTCATGTATCTGCTACCCACGTGTAAGACCTAAAATGAGTTCCTGTTTCCTGGCTTTGGGTTGGCCCAGTTCTGCCTGTTACAGCTTTTAAAAAGTGAACTATTGCATGAGTGAACTCTCCTTTACCCCTGCTCTGTCTTTCATACTGTCTCAACCCAGATGTTTCGAAAAATGGAACTTGCATTATTTTTAACATATTGTTTACCCAATACTATGTCAATTAATTCCATAATGTTGTATATTGATACTGAGGCCTTGTTGGGGCTTTTAACTGACCGGATCTTTACTCTGTTAGACCTATCTTCAGACCAGAGAAGGTCTCCCCAAGAGGCCACTGAACTTATCTGGACAATAAGACGCTGAACTTTATGCTAGGCATGTGTTTGCAAGCAATGAATCTCAACTGAACTTGAACTATGGTTATGCAACAAGGTGGAGGAATCCACCATAGGGGGAGGGGTATGGGAGGGGTGGGGGGAATCCCCAGCGCCTATAAAACTGTACTACATAATACAATGTAAGCAACAATAAAATAAATAAATAAATAAATAAATAAATAAGTTTTAAAAAAAAAACACTAAAAGATCTTCAGACAATGCAAAATAAACCACTTAAGTACTCTTCAGAATTTTCCAACAGTATAAAAATGAGACTGTATTTTACTTTCTACTGTAAAACTTCATTTTTCCTCATGAGGAAAAAAGAGAGCAGGCAAGGATAAAACCTGTTGTGATGGATGGAAAAAGCTAATTGCTCTGTATCCAGTGGATTCTTTAAACTTATGTTTCTGTGCTTTTTATTCACTTTTAAAATTTTCCATAAATATTGCTTTTCAAAAAATTTTATTCTGGTGAAATATACTTAAGGTAACATTTTCACCCAAACCATTTTTAAGTTCATTATTTAGTGGCATTAAATATATTCATAAAGTATACCAATCCTCTAAGAAAATCTTTTTAGAAGAAGGTAAGAATAAGATAGGATCATCTCCACCTCTGTCGTAAGTTTTGAATAAAAGCCTGTGTGGGCTAAGAAGGCCGCACAAAATAATTTTCATTTTATTCTAAACCCCATGTAATTTGATTCTATTCACATAGTAAATGGTCAACCTACTTTTCATGTGTGAATTAAGACTCCTCAAAATCTGTCCAAGTTTTGGCTTCTTAGAGATGGAAAGTACAGTTGAAAATAAAGCATTCCCAGTCAACAGGTTAATAAGACCCTCTTAGAATCTCCACTGTTAAGTTCCAGGAAAAGACAGGAAAGGGAAAAGGAGAATCAGTTGCTGCAAAGCGGTGATTTACATTTGCCTTCGAAGTCTTCAGTAGAGCACAGAAGGCTGTGCTGTTGCCCTCCGTGTAACAGGGAACTTCCCACCTGCCCGTGCTTTCACCGCTGGTAATAACCAAGCTTTTCTACCTGAGGCTCCCATCTTACTCAGTTAATTTCATTCTGCATCTCAAGTTTTTCTAGTGAGGCAACCCTGATCTGTCTTTGTGTTATTTTTTATTTATTTTTACATCCTCGAATCTTAACTTTAAAAATAGTCCTATGTACTGAATATTTCTAGTTCAGTAGTTCTGTTATTTAAATGGGCCTGCTTTGTTTTTCACTTTTTTCAAAATAGGTTTATGTCTGGAGAAGAGAGTCTTCTATAAGCTTATATCGGGACTTCATGCTAGTATCAATTTACATCTCTGTGCAAATTATCTTTTGGAAGGTAAACAAATTTTAAGTGAGATTTTTGCCTTCTATCTAAATCCTGGGATGGTGGGAAAATGTATTCTCTTAGAACAAAAAAATCCTTTCTGACTAAGATAATATATTTCTCCTCTTCTTTAGAAACTTGGGGTAAACCTAGTTGGGGGCCAAATATTAAAGAATTCAAACGCCGCTTTGACCCTATGGAAACCATGGGAGAAGGTCCACGAAGGCTAAAGAATCTGTACTTTCTGTACTTGATTGAGCTTCGGGCTTTGTCAAAGGTAGCCCCATACTTTGAGCGCTCAATTGTCGATCTTTACACTGGAAATGTGCAAGAAGATGCTGACACAAAAGCCCTTCTACTGGATATCTTTCAAGACACAAAGTAAGAAGTAACTGCCAGTGATCTGAAATTGCCCACTTTATTCAAATGAGGCTAAATTCCTAAAAGTTAGGAAAAGAAAAGGGGAACTGAGAAGGAAAATTACCAGTAAGAACGTAACATGTTAAAATTTCCACCAGTGTTGACTACAAAGCATCTTTACAGGTTTATTTCAGAAACGTTTACACTTGAGAATGGGTCATAATTTCAGATTTTTGGGGGGGTCATAATTTCAAATATAACTTTAAATTTTGTGTCGTATCAAAATTCAGTACAAAATATTTTACCACTTCTGTATTCTTTGACTATTTAAATTTAGATGGTATGATTAGGTATTGGCATGGTAGATGCATAAAGCAGCATTAACCTTGTCTTCTAAGATACAACTTCTGAAAAATGCTTGGTCTATAAAATTTGAGTTTACTGATTTAGTTAAAATGAATAGTGGGGCAGGTGCTTGGTTCAGTGGTTGGTTAAGATGTCATTCTGGACACCTGCATCGCATATCAAAATATCTGGGTTCGAGTCCTGTGCGTCTACATTCAGTGCAGCTTCCTGCTAAGGCCCACCCTGGGAGATAACAGGTAGAGGCTCAAGGTGTGTTTCTGGAGTTCAAGGCTCCTGGCGTATGGCCTGCCCACCCTGGCTATTGCTGCCTTTTGGTGGGTGAGCCAGAAGATGCAAGATCTCTGTCTTTATGTTTCTGTCAGTTTCTTTCTGCTGCTTTGCCCTTTGAATAAGATAAATCTATTTTTAATGCAGAAAAAGTTAGATTGAGAGGTGCTGAAATTATGCATTGTATTTTAAATGAAGACAATGTCACTTATTTTTAACAGAAGTTAATTTTTTAAATTATTTCATCATGTACTTTCTTTAAAATTTTACATATCTTATAAATTACAAAGCCATTTGTATCTTGCTTTATTCTGTCATTAGGTAATTTACATATGATGAACTGCTGTTCCTAAATTTTACATGAGTAAATAATTCATTTAAAATGTTTTTGGGGGATAAAAAATTCTGAAAGAGCTCTTAGAAAGTACTGGGATATTTTTGTTCATACCCTATTGTAATAGTATCATTTTTTTTCAGGTCGTTTCCTATGCATTTTGATGAGAAATCCATGTTTTCAGGTGACAAAAAGGGAGCAAAATCACTAAAGGTAAAACGTCCTCAGTCGAAGGACAGGGTGGGAACACTTTATACTGGTTGTTTTCCAGCTTTTATCCATCTGGACTCTTCCCCAGTTTCCCAACTCTTTGACGTTGATTTAATAGAATTTGACCACAAATGGGTCCCTCTCAAAAATCCCTCATACTTCTTAACTTCCTCACATTTCTAGCTTGACTAGCTCCTTAGTGAATCTTCAGTCATTACTCCCTCCAATAAGTGTTTTATAAATATTTTTCTAAAAAACATTTTGAGGTAAAGCTTTGTGAGGTTAAAACCACTGTATATTTTGTTTTAATGTATCTTTCAAAATATTATGATTAATTAGCCACTTTGAAAGAAGCAATAGTCTTATTTTTCTTAAAAGTTTATTTTATGGAATATTTTAGTTTTGGGGCTATTTTATTTTTCTATTTTTGGACAGATGTGAAACCTAAAATTTAGCTGTTAACATTGGGGTATGGATTTTACCCTTAACATGTTAAAAAAAAAAAAACAAACTAGTTGAAGTTAGTTAGCAAATACTTTTCAAATATAGCTTTACAATCTTTTATAGTAATTTGGAACTCCAAAACAAGAAACTTTTTTTCTACGTTTGATGCCAGACAATTTGTTGGCAAAGCCTTAGCTGAACAATGTAAGAAGAGGGCCTGGCGCGGTGGCCTAGTGGCTAAAGTCCTTGCCTTGAACGTACCAGGATCCCATATAGACACTGGTTCTAATCCCGGCAGCTCGGCTTCCCATCCAGCCCCCTGCCTGTGGCCTGGGAAAGCAGTCAAGGACAGCCCAAAGCCTTGGGACCCTGCATCTGTGTGGGAGACCTAGAGGAAGTTCCTGGCTCCTGGCTTTGGATCAGCACAGCACGGGCCATTGCGGTCCCTTGGGGAATGAATCACGGGACGGAAGATCTTCCTCTCTGTCTCTTCTCCTCTCTGTATATCTGACTTTGTGATAAAAGTAAATAAATCTTTAAAAAAAACAATGTAAGAAGATTGGTAGGGCTCTTTGGTTTATTTTAGAATCCTTCCTTGTATGAATATCCTTCCATTTTCCCTAATGTATTTGATTGCAGTGTTGCCTCACACTGTGTGGCATGAGTCATTATATTTAGTGTAACTACTGTATTTGTAAAATTTGAAAAATTCTGAGTTATGCAGCACATTTGGGTTAGATGGTAGATACACCACAAGAACTGAAAATTTAATATTGAACGTTTCTCCTTTGGTGAGAGTTTTCCTTCTTGATATTTTTGAAATGATTTAGATAAAACTATATTGTGGTGTTGGAGGATTGTTTAGTCTGAACATTTTATTAGAGGCAATATTGCTGTGCTTGCTTCGGCAGCACATATACTGAAATTGGAACAATACAGAGAAGATTAGCCTGGCCCCTGCGCAAGGATGACATGCAAATTAGAGGCAATTTGCTATTATTACATTTGATATAATTTTGGATTTTTTAAAGCTGCCTATTTTCTAAGTGTTTACACAGATATTATACTTTTGATCTTCAAATTACCCTGTGTATAGAGAGGTCAATTAAAATTATCTTATTTTAGTAGATGAGTAAGGTAAGATTGAACAAGGCCTTAAGTCCCAGCTAGCTTCCAACTACACAATGCTGGAAATCTTGCTATTTTTCAAGCGTATATAAAGTCCGCCTTCCATCTGTTCCAAAGACTATGCATTAGCATGAGAGAAGAGCAGGCAGCAAAGGATTCTGTGCTCTATTTCTGTTGTCTTCTTTTGAACAGGGTACTGATTCCTTTCAACTCCTTGGTCAGCTGGACAAGGCTTGTGGTGGACACAATTTTCAGTCTACTTGCCTCCAGCTCCATGCGATAAAATGTTTACCTCTGTGCAATAAAATGATTTTCCACATTTTTTCCTTTGACACAGACAAAAGAACATTCTGTTAACCTGTATCTTCAGATAAGATGAGATTAACCTTGGAGACAGAGAAGCCAGGCACAGATGCTTATCAGCAGAAGAGTTTCCAACGTGTAAGAAGAGCCAGAAATGTAGTGTTGGCATCCGTGTGGAACTGCGTCTCTAAAGAACCAGGCACAGGCAAATGTAGTTAGGGAGATGCCCTGCACAGGCCTGTAATCATCGTTGATTGACACCTGTGGCAGAGATAATGTGATACCAAAGATGGATCATTGTTTCAGTGATAGCATTCTGAAACAGGCTCACAAAAAGTGAAACATCAAAAATAAATGAAACATAAAATTGATGCACTTATCACTAATTGAATGTAGGTGTCAAATGGAAGCAGCAGTTAATTAATGTTTCTTAAATGTCAAGACCATTCATCATTTACTATATATGTCCCCCATAATGCATATTTTTTTATGAAATAGCTCTTGAGTAAAGTTAATATGAATTTATATGCAGGATTAATTTTATTTATTATTTTATTTATTTTGTCATTAATATTGCTTCATATTTAATAAACATGCTGTATAAATTCAATTTTTTACTGTTGAAAAATACAACTTATTCATTAATAAACTTCAAAATATTTACTTCTTTTAATTCAGCCAAGTGCAAATTAATTTTGAAAGTGTATTACAACTGAAATGTTCTCTGTATACTAGGAAGAATTTCGGTTGCACTTTAAGAATATCTCCCGTATTATGGACTGTGTTGGATGTGATAAGTGCAGATTATGGGGGAAATTACAGGTATGTATGTTATCTTCTAAAACTATTACTAACCTTAACTTTTTGCACTGACTTCAAGTATTTTTATTAAACTGTGCTGATTTTCACTATAGTTTAGATCATATAGCAGATCCAAATTGTGATTTTTTTCTTTTATTCATGAAAAATAAGTGTTATCAAATTCTGATAGACATATGTGTAAGGATTTTATTTTCTGTATTAATGATCTTTAATTTTATTACATCTTCATTTCTATTTGTACAATCTCAAATTCACCTCTAAAGTTGGTGTTATGAATAAAAAAAACTGTAATGATACAAAAAATTTTAAATATCAAATTTTGGTCATTGAATTTATTTCATTTGATACCTAATTACCAAGTAGAAATGTTCTGCAAGGTCTGATACTCTATAATATACTCAGTGTAAGAATGATTAATATTTTATCTCTTGTTTCTTATAAAAATAGAAAATCAAGAAGCAGTATTTTAATGGAGGCTATATGTAAATCAACTTTTTCTCCAGTGCTAATAATAGAATAATTATTAGGTGTAAGTATTACTAATCTGAGTTTTGAGTTGATAGGAGCTATAAAAATGCCTCAAAGGTTGCTAATCTGTTGGTGGTTCTAATGTGTTATTGTTGAGCTTTTAAAAAAAAAGCATTTTCATAATTTGATATAGTATATGTGTCTAATAAGTGTTAAGATCATTCGTTTCCTTAACAGCTTTGTTAAATTTATCATATTCATAACATGTAAGTTGAAACTGTATCTTTCATAGTTTAATATTTTGTTGAAAAGTTCAGTTCATATGAATTCCTGTCATCACAGTGGCGGTGTATTTCTTTAAGCCTTTCTAGTAGCTGTTGCATTCATTGTAAACTTATTAGTATTTTCCTTTAGACTCAGGGTTTAGGAACTGCCCTCAAGATATTATTCTCTGAAAAAGAAATTCAGAAGCTTCCAGAGAATAGTCCATCTAAAGGCTTCCAACTCACTCGACAGGAAATAGTTGCTCTTTTAAATGCTTTTGGAAGGTAAGACCTATTTTCACAGTGAAGACTTACTTCTTTTTGGAGTTTAACTGTGAAGAACATCTTTTACAGGTAGAGTTTTTAGGAATAGATAAAATTATTTTATTATACCTATGTTGATTTTTTTTAAAGATTTATTTATTTTTATTACAAAGTCAGATATATAGAGAGGAGTGAGAGAGAGAGAGAGAGAGAGAGAGAGAGAGAGAGAGAGAGAGACAGAGCAAGATCTTCCATCCGAGTGAACGCAATGGCTATTGCTGTGCCGATCCAGAGCCAGGAGCCAGGAAGCTCTTCCAAGTCTCCCACATGGGTGCAGGGTCCCAAGGCTTTGGGCCGTCCTCGACTGCTTTCCCAGGCCACAAGCAGGGAGCTGGATGGGAAGTGGAGCTGCCGGGATTAGAACTGGCGTCCATATGGGATCCTGGCGTGTTCAAGGCAAGGACTTTAGCCACTAGGCCACACCGCCTAGCCCACCTGTGCTGATTTAGAGTAGCTTGAGTACTAACAAGTGTTTGTATATAGGTCATAAGAAAAAACAGTGATTTACATTTGCTGATATTTATCAGTTTACCTCTTCAATTCTTAAGAATTTGTTTTATGTATTTAAATGGTAGAGTTAGAGAGAGGCAATCTTCTATCACTGGGATCACTCCCTAATAGCTGCACTGCCAGGGCTGGGCCAGGACAAAGCCAGGAATAAGGAACCCTTCTGAGTCTCCCTAAAGGTGCAGAGGCCCATACACTTGGACTGAGCTCTGTTTTTCCCTAGGTACATTAGCAGGAAGCTGGATCTGGAAGTGGAGTAGCCAGAATTCTGATTCCCATAGGAGATCCTGGCACTGTAGGAGGTAGCTTAACCAAAGCATTGACCGCAGACTTTGTCAATTTTTAAGGACAATATTCCATACTATTCTCTCTTTAGCTGACAGCGACTTTCTTCAGATACATTTTGAATGGCAAAGAAACAATTAAAAATAGACTGGTTATACATTTGTCACTTAACAGAGTCCACCTATTGCTTCTCTATATGGCAAGATGACTATGTAGATCAACATTTCAGACAAATGTGTGTTAGTCAATAATCAAGAATAGGCACAGGAAGGCTCAGCAGAAAATAGTCTGTTCTCAGGGAACTAGTGATGTAAAGTGTGTTTAGGAAGTAACAAGAAGGAAGAAAGAAAGAAAATGGCCATGTAAAGAAAAATGTGCAAAAGGAAGTTAAAAGATCAAATCCAAGTTACTTCAAGATTTTTATTGTTAAAAATCATCACTGCCTCTGTTATTAATTTAGAATGTTGATAAGAAATAACTTGGTACCTTTTCCTATTTTAACCAAGGCGAAAGAATCACTGCTTCATATTTTGTCAATCTTTAAGAATTACAGCCTACTTAATTAAAAATGGAAGCCTCATGGTTCTTATATGGTGTTCATATTTTTAGCTTTGGTTTGTAAATTACAGACCATGCAACAATATTGATCATCTGAAATATGTCTGCATCACATTCAACCGTGCTTACTCACATGCTTTCTTTCTCTACTCAGGCTTTCTACAAGTATACGAGAGTTACAAAATTTTAAAGTCTTACTACAACAAAGTAGGTAATAAAGGCTTTTATAGGTCTAGTTAAGAGACATACAGTGACTGTGAAGCCTTGTTGTCTTGGACACTCACCAGAAAGACTTCAAGACTTCTGAACTCTTAAAGGAGAATTGAAATGGTCACTTGAATATTTATGATTCTCAATAGACTATTGTCAATAAGAGATATTTATAAATGAAGTATATACTTTTAAAACATGTAAGTTATACTAATTTTATGTCTAATTTCATGTGTTTCCATCTGTTGAATAGTCTATTTGTTTATAATTGGTTTTGTTCCTCATGTGTTAGCCTGGTTGTCAAATAGTAGTAAATGACTGTAGGAGAACTAGGGAACTGAATGTTGTGTAGGGCTGGTATCAGTGACAAAAACTTATCAGTGGTTTCCTAAATGTGTTTTTAGCCTTGCTTAGCTCTCTGTGTGTCACCTTTTAGAATATGGAGCAGTGCAGGTATTGAATGGCTCTCTCAATGAATAGTTTAACAGAGGCTCCTTAAGATTTCCCAGGGCTTTAAGTTCAATTTCACTGTTTTGTTTTAAAAACTTTTGTTGCTGTTGCTGTTTGGTTTGGGGTCACAAGCCCTGTTTGGGTAAAGATGACAAGTATTGTCCACAATGCTGATCTAGAAAGTTTTCATGTGTGTGGATGAATTAGCTCCAGGACAGTCTTACTTAGAACTTAGACAACCTTCTTTCCATTTTACCTTTATTTTTGTCCCTACCAATATTTTAGATACTTTCAGTTGCTTTAATTAAAAATTTGTATAAATATTTATTTAACAGATTACTTCTTGGAAAATTTGAGTTCAGTTATATTAATTTATACCAGTTAAAACATTATATATGCAAAAATTGCTATCTTAAGTAATGGTAAGCATTTGTAAAGAATTTAACTTGGTAATACTATCTATGCAATCCTCTCAGTGTGATTTTCTTTGGTGATATTTCAGCAGGTAGATTAGGTCAGGCATCCTTCAAGCTGGCTCCCCTGTCCCTTTTTCTTCACATATTTAGTTAATTGTATGTTAATGGTACTTGGTGTAACTCATTCCAACAGATGATTCATAAAATCCTAAACTGTCATTTTCTAAACTTGGAACTTAAACCTATAAGCAGTATTTTTTTTTAATCTTGATTATTTTGTAATGATGTCACTAAATAGAATGTAATTAATCTGAAAGACTGCATTTAGGTAAAAGAAACGCGGGTACAGAATCTAGAGTTTTGACTTCAGTCTTTTCTGGAGTAAATAATAAGTGCTCTTAAAATATGTCTCTTATCCTGCCCAAGTCTGAAATCTGTTCCTTAATGATTTAGTGACATGTTTTAAACCACATTTAGTTGGCTCACACCTCTTTTCAGTACTTAACCATTGGTTGGGGGAGTTAGTTCTCACAAGAGCTATTTATTTTTCATCTAATTCCTGAACTCTCCAAACTTGAAATTTTGTTGATTTTTTGTGTGTGTGTGTGTATATGTTTGCAAAGTTAAATTTTTAAAAGGCTCGTTCGATTGGAACTCCCTCCACTTTTTCTTTTCTGTGTAAGGGTTGAAAGGAAACACAGTGGAGTATGAGGCCTCAGGGCAAACTGTCTAAAAAGTGACTAAGCAATCTTGCTAGTTAATTAGAGCAATTGTTTTTAGTTGTTCATTCATTCACTTTCTGAAAATGTGAAAATGTTGCACTTTGTATATTATTACTGTAAATTTACAGATCTTTTTCGTAGTGTTACTTCACATTCCCTCACTTAAACCTCTTTGGAGCAAAGCCTTGGGCATTTCCATTTATTGTGCTTTTTTTTTTTTTTTTTTTTTTGCTATGATTTGTTTCAAGCTTACGAAAAATGGTTTATTAGAGTGTGTTCTAGGAAATTCAATTTTTTTCACTATTAAGAAAATAAATGAAAAATTTGTAAGCTAAACTTTATTTAACTTATCACAAATTAGGTTGTGGGGGTGGCCTACATATTTGTATGTGTGTGTTTTTCTTAAATGTATAAACTGTAGGAATCTGTTTCATGAGCCTGGTGACATTTTACTGTTTCCTGTATTAGAAACTGTTGGGATAGTTACCATGCCTTTGTTGTGAAGTACTGCTAGAGTACTGTCTGCATTGTGAAAATGCTGGGCTGCTGAGTACTTCCTGGCATATTGTCTTTATCTCATGACCTAATTTAAAAAGCCCACATTGAATAATATAACTGACAGTAATGATTGTACCAGCTTTTGAACTGATGAAAAAGAAGGAAAGAAAAATACTCCTTCCTTCAGTGGCAAACATTCGTTTTTATTCTCAACTGGTATCTGTGCAAGTTACACAAACTAAATATTGATAAACTATGAATGTTTCTCCAGTTTTGACTTTCCAATTATGAGGAGGATCAAACACAACAGCACTAGATTCAGTTTTGAAATAAGTCAAAACATTTAGACAATTAACATATTGAGTTACGCAGTATTTGTGATCACTGTGTACATATGAGATACTGTGCTATGTTTTTCAACTTTGCCCAGGTGCCATTGTATGTAAGAAAGGACAGCTATTTTGGTCTTCATCAACATTGCCTTCAGCTGGAAATTTGGGAACAGTTCACACAGTAAACCTCTCAGAAGTTTGCAAACTCAAGTTTTCTGCAGAAACTGTAGCTACTCACCAAAAACATACAGAGTAGGTGCATGGTATCATGAAAATCATTGGAACAAAGCAGAAATACAACACTCAAACCTATATGTACTTTATGGAAAGTAATATCTCCAGGTGCACCTTTGATTTTTGAACAGAATTCCAAACACTTTGTTGTTGTGCCCACCAAATTCTAGAAAATGTGAATTAAAGTACATGTTTCTGCAATCTTCTCTGCTTTTCACTCTTTTCGTCGTTTTAAGTGTTTTGTTTTTATGAGATGAGAATTTGATTGTAAATTGTGGAGAGGTGAGAAAGTGTTTATGGGTAATTTGGAGTTACTTCTTCCCAGGTAGGAACACGCATGGTAGAGACTCTTGAGGTCCTTTCCAGACATCACTTAGTCTTCACAACAGCACACGTGGGCAAGGACACTATGAGGCTGCTCCGTGGAAGGTTAGTGCTAAAGATGTTCACTTGGTGTTTCAAGAAACACATGAAAAGTAAGTGTTACGACATAACTATGCATACATTTCAAAGATGTTCTACAGCAAAATAAGCATCTTTTGTTCCACTTTCCAACAAACTTTGAAACAGCTTTGTATGTCTCTGTTTTAGAAAGAAGAAAATTTAGGGTAAGAGATACTAGGCAATTTTTCCATAGTCACAAATTGTAGGTTGTGGAACTGGACTTTGAGATAGAAAATCCAACTCAAAACAGTGTGTGTACTCATAATTTGCTCCATTTGTGTCATTTCCGAAGTTGGACTATTGCTACTTAACTAAAATGTGGAAACTTGAAGCATCTTTTCACTGTTATTGCAGCACAGGTTTTTAAAATATATTTCTTTTATTTAATTTTTGAATAATAATACATTCTCATATTTAAAAAAATATAAAAAGTGATACAGCCAATGTCATCATCTGTCCTTGGTCCAACTTCACACACTGTGTACAAACCGCTTCACAGTAAGTAACCTGTTCCTGGGTTTCTGTATTTCTATCCACACTTTTTGAGGCATAGTCCAACACATACAAATGTAAAATTTTATTCTATCATTTTTACTGAAAGTGGCATTAGATAGACACTATTTGCTTTTTCTTTCTACTTTTTGGCAGCTTTCACATGTCACTTGATAGTTTTCTCAGTGTTTAGTGGCTGTTTTACATTCTATTGCATAGATGTACCATCACTTACCCAGTCCATAATTAACGGGCTTCTGAATTGATTCCAGATCTGTTAATATATTAATTTTGCACTGATGTAGTAAATATCTACCTATGGAATAAACCGAGCAATGTAATTTTTTAATCAAAGATTGCTTACATTTTGTAACTTCGAAAGATACTGACAAGTTTTCCTCCATGAAGAGTAGTTATTTTGCCTTCTGAAGTTTATAGCACCTGTTGACCTACCATTGTTAAAATGTTGGATTTAGCCATTTTGATAGTTTAAAAACAGTGTGTTGTCATTTTATTGTATTATTAGGCATAGGATTGACCACCTCTTATTGTGTTTAAGAGCCATCTGTATTTACTTTTCATTTCATATCTTTTGTTCATTTTTCCTACTATATTGTTGTCATTATTTTCTCTGAGTATAAGGTACGTCAAAAATTTGCAGTTACAAATGGCTTTTTCCATTTTGTCTTTATTGCTTTTTTGGGAGAATTTTGGCATGCATTTTTTTTCCTGCAATTTTTATCTAGTTTATCAGTTTCTTTGGTAGTTTCCAGAATGCAGTATCTTCCTCACTCTTAAGCAATGGAGTAATATGCCTATATTTTCTTCTATAACTTTCATTGTCTTATTTGTTTACATCTAAATTTATGCCCCTTTCAGTGTACCTGGCATACTCTGAAAATGTAAGTTGAAAATCTAAATTAATTTTTTGTCAGAGGATTACTTCATTACTCCAGTTCATTAAATGGTTCATATTTCCTTACTCATTTGAGGCTATATTTATTATATCTAAAATCTTACATGTATTTAGCTCTATATCTGGGTCCTATTTTCTTTTTCATTGGCCTATACTTATTAATCATTTGTATTACAATGCTTAATTACTTGAGCTTTATTTTTCAATACCTCTTTGCTTCTTCCACCATTTTTTTTCATTTTTCAGTTTTCCTAAGTGATTGTGTTTTTGCCTGTGAGCTTAAAATAAGAATCCTTCAACACAAAGCATGATAAAACTGTCCAACTCAGCATTTCCTTTCAATGTTTATACTTTCAACCACTTAGTATGTCACTGTTTTACCTGAGAAATATCTTTTACTGGTTGGATTAATTATTTCAGTATTTTATCTGCCAAACAGATATAAGCAAACAGAGGCAGGACATGGTGCCTGAGTGGACAGATTTCATCTTAGTGTTTTATGTTAAGACAGACTCCAGAAACAATTAGAGCACTATCTTCATAGAAAATCTTTTCATCCATTAAGAATTGTCTTTTTCCAAAACTTAAATGTCAGAGATTTATAAGGAGGAGCCCTTAAATGAAGAGCTTAAAAAATCAAATATGCAGCACATAAGCATGCAAGTATAAGAAATCACCTGATAAAAGCTGCCACAGTCCAGGATTTGACGAGTCACTCACTGTTCTAGAATTGGGAAAAACGTCAGGGAAAAAAACAAGCACCTCTGCCATCATGCAAATTACACAATTTTAACTGTAGATTACATCTAGCTTATGGCAAGAACACAAATTAAAATCTAATTCTCAAGAAATAGTCAACAGAAAATCATGACTCACGGTGGATCTGGTGCCTTCGGGATCTAGTGTCTTCCTGACAGGGCCATCAAGTTGTCATAAGTAAAGTCGTTCCCCTAACATTTGTTGGTCAGAGCGGAGTCAGCACTCAGCAGGCAACTTTCTGGTATTTAGCTTTTCCTGGGGATTCCTTCACAAAGTGTATTTTCAAATGGGGAAGTGGGGAAGGGGCATTTCCTGTTTCCTTTGACAGATCTTAAATCTGCACACCTAAAGCCCAGACTATGGGCTCATCAATTCACCAAGGGGACAGCACCCTAAATATAGTTACACAAACGTAATGACCCTGGTAAAACATTATTTGTTTATACAGAAACACCATTATATTTATGTTTCAAATAATGCTTGGGACTGCAAAGAGACTGGGAGAAGTGGTGTTTGTAGACAAGGGAAAAGAACCCATCAACAAGAGTCAGTTTTAAAAAGGGTGTATGGGGCCCGGCGGCATGGCCTAGTGGCTAAAGTCCTCGCCTTGAACGCACCGGGATCCCATGTGGGCACCGGTTCTAATCCCAGCAGCCCCACTTCCCATCCAGCTCCCTGCTTGTGGCCTGGGAAAGCAGTCGAGGACAGCCCAAAGCCTTGCACCCGTGTGGAAGACCCGGAAGAAGTTCCTGGCTCCTGGCTTTGGATCGGCATAGTATCGGCCGTTGTGCTCACTTGGGGAGTGAATCGTTGGATCTTCCCCTCTGTCTTTCCTCTCTGTGTATCTGACTTTGCAATAAATAAATAAATCTTGAAAAAATAAAAAAGGGTGTATGTTGGGGAACTAGGGTGTTGAGGTGGTATTTTGAGCATCATATAGGCTACAGACATAGGCACAGTTGAAGGGAGGGCAGATATATGATCTCAAAACTAAAAAGTTCATGAGCAGAAAAATCTGTTCTGGATATAAGAATTCCAATGCTTGGAGTGGGATAAGGCAGCCAAGGTCCAAAACGATTAACCAGTTTTAGAGGCAAGTTAATGTTGGCAAGGCATTCAGCAGTGGCTGAGAATATAGAGGGCAGGGCCATGTTTCAAGGAACAGAGGTAGGGAATTCAAATTTGAAGGAACCATGTAGCTGCCACTAGGAGCTATTAAGTCACTGCTGTGGAATTGAGAACCTTAAATCCACACATGATGACCTGGGCAGCCAGTTTCAGAACTCTCATGCAGAATGAACAGTTCCAGTGGTGGAGGTATTGGGGTATCTGACAGAGCTCTAGGTTGGGACACATCCTCAACACATTTAGGCATTTTGATCCTTTAGGATCAGGACTTTTTGTGTATTCCTGTTAAGGGCCAAGAGTAAGATTCATACCTGGGTGTTTCTGAGTATACAGACTAGGATCCACAGACCTGACGAGTACCCAATCCAGTGGTACCCTAACTGGTCTCTTTTTAAGTCACTGTTTTGTCACGATTAAACAGTTTGTTGACTCGGTGTCTTTGAAGGAAAGAATTGAATTACTTGAGCCTGATTCTTTCCCATTGCTTCTCCATTTGGATCCATAACAAGTATCATTATGCAATTAGAAATGGTTTTAATAAAATTCTCACATAGTATAAAAAAATTACTATTACAAGTAGTCTTTGGCCAGACATATACTAGTCTATACTGTAGCATGCATGCAGCAATCTAAATTGAATGCAGGATAATGTTGTATTTTTTTTTTTATTTAAGTTTGTTTAGTTGGGATTCTTGATAAAATTTCAGACATTTAGACCTATTTAGTTCCAATGTAAGTTCACCTGTACTGTTAAAAACTAAAGGCACTATTTCAATAACAGCCACTATATAAATGTAAGTAAGAATCTTTTTCTTAAAACACTTTAAAGTGTTGCTCTTTTCCTCTTACTGGGGGTTGCTGTTGGTGTCCAACTAAGAGCATTCTGGTGAAAGAAGAAACTTGGGGAGGCACTACTGAGTGTGCTGGGTCAACGCTGCTGAAAGTGGTAATCAAGAATATGGCAGAGAGGGCCAGTGTTGTGGCCTAGCATGTTACACTGCTGCCTATGCCAGCTGCTCTACTTCCAATCCAGCTACCTACTGGGATGAGGGGAAGGCAGCAGAAGATGGTTCAAATGTTTGGGCGCAGTGCCATCCAGGAGGGAGACATGAAGATGCTCCTGGCTTGGGTCTGGCCCAGGCCTGGCAATTGTATCCATTTTGGAAATAAACCAGTGGAGGGAAGATCTCTTTTTCTCTCTTGCTCTTAATTTGCCTTTCAAATAAAAAAAAAATCTTAGAAGAGCTGGCATTACTATGATTGATATGTAGAGCCCACAGCTGTGTGTAACACACTCAGGTGTTTTAATCATCACCTCAAATAAATTCATTGTAAAAAGAAAAAAAAAAAAAAAGGCAGTGAAAGACAGCTAAAGAAATCAGTAGGAATGCTTAGAGTCACCAGTGGAGGTGGTTATCTATTCCAACAGCGACATGGAGATTATCATAGCAATGGCAACACAGGAATATTAGCATGCAGCTGACCAGTGCTGCATCAGACATAGACAAAGTCCATCATTCTCAGAGATACTGCCTTCTCTAGACATTTAACTTCCAAATTATTGGAATTTTAGCTTCATTTTCCTTTTAAACAAGAGGACATTTGGGACCATCAGAACCAGAAATGGGCATTCATTTTTCTCTCATTAGGAGAAGCTTTGTTCGTGTATCTATCAGAAAAAGTAAATGAGGAAGATAGGGAAAAATGTTCTTGTCCATACTATTTCTACAACTATTTCACATTGCATATTTGAACACTTACTTACTATGAGGTAAAAGTACTTTGACGCAATCTAGTTTATGTTCTAGTATGTGTTTACAACACTTGTAGATATTTTTGCAATGGTTTTTAAAGTGGGAGGGAAGAGAAAATAGAAGATTTTTATACTCATGAACATAAGTGACAGATTGATTTTTTTAAATGATAAAAAAGGATTATAGCTTTTATCAATTAATGCTGGAGCTTTTAATTCTCCTGCCTGAAATAACAGCATTATAAATCATGTATTATAGGATGGGTATAATAATTACATTGTTTTACTGACATTCTAATCACAATTTTTAAATACTATTTGCCCTTTGCTGACCTAATCAAAAGACTACAGAACTTTCTGAAGACATGATGTAAATGTTTCCAGGTATTAGTAGTAGTGATAGAGATGATACAATCATAACACAGTTTATTTAGAGTATTATTTTAAGGCAACTTGAAAAACATCTGTCCAGGCTTCGCTTCAGTGCAGAATTTTTCCTGACAAGTAACTTTTAATTGATATGTAGCCACACGGTTCGGTTTGGCTCCACACACTGAAAGGCAAGGGTGTTACCTGGGATTGTGCAGAGATCTATACGAATGAAAAGCGCAAGCATGACTCATGAGCTGGAGATCCCAGTTTTAAATGTCATGAGAATAATAATGTTGTCTCTGTGAAATCAAAGCCCAGAGATATTTTTTTCTGAAGACCAAAACAGAAAGCAAGAGACATTTGCATTAGGTTGTATCATATAGGTAGGACTTCGGACTCCCAAGTCCCTTCCCTGTGTCCCAAGATGAGACTCCCTCAAGCAGGGCAGTGTGGTACCTTCTCTTGGGTAGCGGTGCTTCCTCCACTTCTTTTTCTGCTGTGTGGAAAATCAGAGCATATAACCTTGGGGAGGACAGGATTTAGGGCTCAGCACATCCACAGTGGACAATACTTTTCTTTCTGGGTAGTAGTAGTTCATGTTTCTTACTCATGTGAAAGATGACACAGAAGCAATTGTCTGGGATGTGCCTTTCCCCATGGCTAAGAGGCATCATGCTGAAGAATACTGCGAGGTAACTGGAATTTGGAATGTCCACTTCCAAACGCTGTTTACACAGCCATTTAAAAACCACTGCCATAAATATGGCTCAGATCACAGAAAACCCTCCAAGGATTCCACACTGCCTCGTGGCTCACAGTCTCAGGCATTTATTGCTAGTGCCCTTTTTGGAACTTCATTTTTTTTTCTTTGAATGTAATGAACATTCATTGAGTTTGGAAAGGTGTAGTCTTGTTATAATCTTGAGGTAATCGATAATATATTTGAGGTGAAAAAACTGAAATCTATAAACATAGCAGATACAGCAGAATAGGTTTAATGGTCTAAGTCAGGTACGTTTTTAACATTTTCAACTTGTTATTATCACAGTGTATACATTAGTGCCATGTTGAAACAAAGTACCAGACTTCTGGAAAAATCTTTTAAATTCTCTGGGGTAGGCATTTGGCCTAGCTGTAAAGGTGCTGTTTAGGACATCACACGTTGGACTGCCTGGCTCCAGCTCTCACTTCAGCTGCTGATGTAAATTGTAGGAGGCAGCAGTAAACCTCAAATGGCTAGGTTCCTGCCACAGCTGCAGGAGACCTGGAGTGGTTGGGTCCCAGCTTTTGCCTCTTTGCACCTGCAGGCATTGGAGGGTGAACCCATAGATCAGAGTACCCTTGCTGTCTTTTCTCTACTTATCAAAAAGTTAATTTAGAAAGCAAACAGAAGGAGAGGGAATCTTTGAGGGACCAGCTGCCAGACCTCACAGGAACTCTACAGATCCACTTACCTGACAGTCCATTGTTACTCCATTTCAACTCTCAGCAAGCACTGGAGCTGCAGTTAGCTTGCCAGATTTCAACTGTATTTCAGGAGACTATCAATGTAGGGCTCAAAATCTGAGTGACCTTCAGAGGTAAGGAGTGGAGGAACACTTTCGTTCAAAAGTCCTTAAACTATTAGACCATTCCGTCTATTTTTAAAGTGAATTATGCATAAAAATCTGTGCAAACTACAACATTCTGTAAGAACACTCTCAAGGAAAAACTCTAGTATACTTCACTAATATTTAAGTTATATAAAATATATCTTTACAAAAGTACAGATTTTCTTTCAAAAGTTTAAATTATACCCATTGAAATAGCCAGGCTCACATTTTAGTACTAAAATAAGAGTTCAGCCTAAGTTATTGATTAGTCCTATGGAGCCATTAGAAACTTGTAGCAAATAAAAATTGTCTGTTTCTTAAGGAAAAGTGCCTTAAACGTTCAGTTGTCATGGAGTTTGTCTTTCTGAAGCTTTTCACCTGTGGACTGTCCCATAAAATTTTTCAGTGATGCTATCCTTGGCTTGGTTTGTCAGGTTCCAAAGTAGAGTCTTGGTGCAAAGTTCCTACTTGTGCCAGGAAGCTGTTAGTCTGTTGTCCCCAGTCATAGTAGTCTGGAGCAAAACTTAAAGAAAAGAAAAGAACATTTCAGTGGGTTGAAATATATACTAAGGCTGACAATGCCTAGTTTACAGACTGAGCTAGAACTTTTCTATAATTGTAGATAATCCCAGAGTTCTTTCAAGTAGCTTCTTGAAGCATATTTTCCCATAAAACATTACTGAGCACACTGCTTAAGTCTACTGAGTTCTTGAGAGCTCAGAAGTGGGATATTACTAGAACCTTAAGCCAGTCACACTATGTGAAGCAATAAATTGTTATTACTCCAAAGGAATACAATTCACTACCTGTGTGTCTTTGGGCAGCTGACTTCTGTACTTCAATGACCTCATCTATAGACTGGAGAGATCATTAGAAATGGCTCTGTTAGTCTGCTGTGGGGACTAAGTAACTTAGTATCTAAAAAGTGGTTAGAATTATGTCTAATATTTTTAATTGAACACCGGTACATTTGAGTTGTTTTAATTATTCATTGCCTTGTGTGTAAAGAAGCTCTCAAGTCACTCCTGGCAGGTGAGGAGTTGGACCGCTTTCAGCATGGTCTGGTTTAAAGGGGCAAATAGTGGACAGGAAATGCAGAGTCCTAACTGGGTATGAGAACACTTAAGGAAGGGGTGGCGCTCAGGATCTGCCGGACCTCTAGCCCTTTTTTGACCTAAGGAAAGTCAATGGATGGCTTCTGACCTCAGGAAGTCCTCCTGGTGACCCCCTACGTGATGGGGTCCTTTGATGTTTTTTAGCCTGAGTTAGCCTTTTTTTCCTCATCCCCCCCCCAACAGTTCTTAAAGGGTTTTCTAAGGTCTTTGACTATTGTTTAGAGTAAAAAAGCATGTAAATTGTTCTTTTATTATTTCCCCCAGAGGAAAAACTTACACTACAGTGTAAATGGAGAGTCTTGACAGTCACAAAGGACTGCATCAGATATGTTTGACATCTAAGAAGTTCCAGGGCATGGGAGTCCCTGGGTGACCAGAGAGTACCACCCGCCACGCAGCACTAGCTCAGCCCTTTGAGCACCTCTCACCCCTGCTGTCCTTGCTGATCTCGCACTCCCAGGTTCACAGATGGAAACGGGGATGGGGGGCGGGGGTATGATGATCACTGAGCATTCAAGTGTGGCTGAAGCACTCACAGGCTAAAGAGAGGATTAGGGGGTGCTGTGATGCCACTGCCTGCAATGCTGGCATCCCATATGGGAGCTTGTGTCCTGGCTGCTTTACTTCTGATTCAGTTCTCTGCTAATGACCTAGGAAAAGCAGCAGAAGACAGCCCAATCCCACAGGCCAAGGCCTGGAAGAAGCTCCTTGGCTTCACCTGGTCCAGTCCAGGTCATTGTGGCCATCTGGGGAGGATCTTTCTGTTTGTGCTTTCTTTCTCTCTGAAACTCTGCATTTCAAATAAATACACTCTCCCTGTTTTCTGGACCATGCAACAGCCAAGGCAAGCGGATCTCAGACTCTGGGGCAGGTGCGTGCTGAGTCACCCATACTCAGATGATTTCCTCTTTAGTAACTCTCCCAACTCACTGCAAAGCAGGTGATGGCAACTGGACTGGGGGCTCACTGACTGTGTTGCAGCCTCTGTATGATTCAAAATATTCTGTCCAGATCTACAAATGGATTCTTGCATAAGGAGACCATTAAAACCCCCAGGAGAGCACAGCCTAAATGAGACTAGGGAATGAAGTACTAATTCACAAACTGTGGGCTTGGGCTAGTGACTTGGAGTCCAGGTTCGAAAGATCTGAGCCAGTGCTGTGGCATAGCTCGTAAAAGCGCCACAGGCAGCACTGACATCCCATTGAACATCAGTTAAAATCCTGGCTGCTCCATTTTCAATCTAACTTCCTGCTAATGTGCTTGGTAAAGCAGCAGAAGATGGCCCAAGTTCTTGGGCCCATGCACCCCACAGGAGATCCAGAAGTAGCTCGTGGCTCCTGGCTATGAACTTGCCCAGTTCTGGCGTGGTTGCCTTTTAGGAAGTGAATCAGTGGGCTGAAGATCGCTGTGTATTTGAAAGAAAAAAAAAATTTCCAACAACCAGGGGAGAAAATGGACACCTGCCTGAATTTCCTAAATCCTGTTCCTCTGAGTGGTTCCATGAGCAAGTGCTCTGTTTCCCCTCTTGGAGAGTCATATTGCAAACTCTGAGAAATCATACAATTTAAAAAAATGTTGATTTTCTTTTAAACCATCATTTCCTTCTGTATAGCACAGGCATTAAAAAAATGGAACTCCATAGAACATTGTTTAGGAAACACTACAGTAGTTTTCAAGTTTCAAGGTCTGTCCTGTGCTATTCAGAAATGTTTCATATAAGTAAATTGATATCCTGCTATCGCTAGCCAGTCTTACAGTACCTTCAACTGCATGGCACTTAGGTAGGAGTTTTTAGTTTCAATCTGTTGCGCTGCTGCAGCTCTCTCCTTTCTGAACAAGACTTCTCTGAAGTGAATTAAGGTCTTACCTTCCCTGAAGTCCCTGAGGGGCAATGTTCCAGGCAAGATCATCATCACTGTCGTATCTTCGAGGGTTGTCAAAGAAATAAGATCTGGGACTGAATCCATGGCTGGGGACCATTCCAGAGTTAGTCTAGAAGGACAAGTAATCATTGAGCATATTGGCAGACACTGTGCCTTGCACTAGATAAAGATCTTCTTCCTTGAAGGAGACTGCAGATATTTTCCCCCTCTGGATGGGGGCTGCACCTGTTCCACTGGGGTCTTCATTTCACTTGCTCTGTATCATGGAAAGACTAGCCTTTCCCTTTACCCATAGGGTGAAAAATCTTCTATCAGTTTTGCATGTAATAATGAATCATTGTTTAAGTCCCTTGCTGGAAAGTCAGACAACTCTCAAATGACGTAAACCAAAGTGGCCCCCATTTGGATCCACATCTAACATGAAGGCATTGAGAACACATACAGTGATGAAGATCATGAAATCATTTTGAAAGGGTTTCTCTTCCTGTTTTCATGTCCAGCCTCTATAATCATCGCATCCTGTGTGCATGCCCTGAGTTCCTCTCAAAGGCTGTCAAGTGACTGCTCTCAAGTAAACCATAGATGTTAGTGCCAGCTTTCAGGATCATACCTGTTCTGGGACAAGTGTTGTGACTTGAGAAGCCTTCTCTGTCAACAACTACTGAAAACTCAAGTCCTCTCTGGCAGGAAAGAGTTCACATAAACAGATGATCAAACTAGATTTTATGGCAAAACAATTCTGGCATAGGGTTTGAAATCTTTGCACATATCACTAGAAGGGCTTTTTAAAAAGTTAACAGATACTATATGGAGTGAGGCTATCATAAGATGACCATAAATTTAAAAAATGAGCACAAATAATCTGATACCTATTTTTCTATGATTAACCAAATAAGGCAAGACACGTTAAAATTTACTATCCTTGATGGTTCAGGAATGTCTATGAACCTTATAAGGAAGAGCAAAACTAATTCAAATGAACTTCATGAAACCCTTAGAATAAAATACAAAGGGTGGACTCGGCGGCGTGGCCTAACAGCCAAAGTCCTCGCCTTGAATGTGCAGGGGTCCCATGTGGGTGCCAGATCTAATCCCGGCAGCCCCGCTTCCCATCCAGCTCCCTGCTTGTGGCCTGGGAAAGCAGTCGAGGACAGCCCAAAGCCTTGGGACCCTGCACCTGTGTGGGAGACCTGGAGGAAGTTCTTGGCTCCTAGTTGGGCGCAGCATTGGCCGTTGCAGCCACCTGGAGAGTGAATAATCAGAGGGAAGATCTTCTTCTCTGTCTCTCCTCCTCTCTGTATATCTGACTTTGCAATAAAAATAAATAAATCTTTAAAAAAAAAATTCAAAGAGCAAGTTTTCAGGGACAAACACAGGATTTGGCAAGGGATTCTTCAATGTGACACCAAAATGCATGAGCAACAAAACAGGCTAGACTTCATCAAAATTTAAAATATTTGTGCTTCAAAGGATACCATCACCATAAAAAGAGTAAAAAGACAGCCACAGAATGAAAAATATATCTTGAAATTCTAAAATACACAAATAACTCCTCTAGCTCAGTTATAAAAGGTCAACCCAATGTAGAAAGGGAAAGACAGATGAACAGGCCTTCCTCCAAAGAGGATGCAGGAACAGCCAGTGAGCACACACCAAGATGTTCTTCATCCTTAGTGACTGGGAAAACGCAAATCTGAAGCTACAGAGAGGTATCACTGCATACCCACGAGCATATGTAAAATCATGACGTCAGTACTCGGTGGGGAGGCAGCAGAACCTTCATACACCATTGAAGGCAATCAAAGATGGTGCAGCATCTGTGCAAAAGACTGGCAGTTTTTCAAAATGCTAGACGGCTTTAGCGTATAATTTAGACGGCTTTATATATGTCCAAGAAAAATGAAAACTTACATTCCTACAGAAATGTATACAAGGATGCTACAGCAGTATTACTCGTGTAGCCAAAAAATTGAAATAACCCAACTCAGTGTGAGTAATCAACAAGCCGGAGTTGATAAAATGCATTTCAACAGAAAAATAAAATACCTTAAAATCCATCACAGAATGAACAGATAATAAAAAATGCGTACATCTATATAACTAATCAAATACAACATGGATGAACCTTGAAACCATTATGGCAAGTCAAAAAAGACAGTCACAATAAACCACCTACTCTATGCATGATTCCATTTGTACAAGAGATTAAAACAGAAAAATCTACAACCAGAGGAAGTGGAATAGTGGTTCATTGGCCTGATATGGCATAGGAAGAGGAGGGCTAAGGTAGAAAGATAATGTTGAATGACAGATAAGGAGATGAAAATGCTCTAAAATTGGCTATTTGTGATAATTTCACATATCTGAACTCACCAAAAATCACTGAATAGTACACATGAGATGGGTAGATTTATGTTTGAATTATATCAATACTTTTAAAAAATATGAACACAGATTCTCAAATTTCATGGTGTATTCAAATCACTTGTTATAAAGGTGCATTCCCTGAACTTGCCCCTGCGACTCTGACTTGGGTTGTGAGCATGACCTGGGAATCTGTATTTACACCGAGCACTGTGCCAAGAAGTAATGAGACCCACCGAGAGTGCAGGCAAGGCCCCAGTGAGCACTAGAGTTTTGCTCAAAAAATATTTACCTATCCCTTAGCCAAACTTGGTCACCAGAAGCTAGGCAGCGAGACTCAGCCGGGAATGCACTCTTAACTTTGACTTGCTTTGTCAATGTGAGGAGGTGCTCAGAGTCTGACTTTACTGAAGCCTCCAGTGGTCCAGGACAAGCTAAGGTCAACAAAGGTGCAAGAACAATATTCACCACTAAAAAAATGCAAAGAGAGGAACCCAACCTGGTCATCCAGAAAAGGATGCTGGATTTCACACTGGCATCATCCTGGGCCATTGGCCAAACCAAAATTGACTCCGGATACTTTTCTACAGGTTTCATAATCGGTGAGTCCAAAGTACCACTGATTCGGGCTGGGCACAATAGCCTAGCAACTAAAGTCCTAGCCTAGCAACTAAAGTCCTCACCTTGCATGCCCGGGATCCCATGTGGGTGCCAATTTGTGTCCCAGAGGCCCAATTTCCCATCTAGCTTCCTGCTTGTGGCCTGGGAAGGCAGTCGGGAACAGCCCAAAGCCTTGGGACCCAGGACCAGGGAGACCTGGAAAAGGTTCCTGGTTCCTGGCTTCAGATCAGCTCAGCTCTGGCCATTACAGCCACATGGGGAGTCAATCACCGGACAGAAGATCTTCCTCTCTGTCTCTCCTCCTCTCTGTACATATGACTGTTCAGTAAAAATTAATAAATCTTAAAAAAAGAAAACACTAATTCTTATCAAATTATTTATGGAGTAAGGTACCCAGGCAAACCCAACCTGGTTTTACATTTTCAGTCCTGACCTTCATGCTGACTTTCATATGAAGTTGGTGGAGCAGAAATGTGACCCAGCTGGGGGAGGGACTGTAACATCCTTTCCAATGGGTTTATCTCCCCATCTTCCCACTTCCTCATTACTCTCTGGAATACTGCATCAGTGAAGAACAGAATTACCATTCCTTCTCTATTTGCCTATGTTAAAGAAAAGCCTACACATTTGGTTCATAGCAAGTCAAGGCTCAAATATTAGTGAAGTTGTGTTCCATTAATAAAAGCAGTTACTTCCCTCAGGCCTTGGGATATAATATACTTTCTGGTATAAAAGCTTTTATAACAGAAAGCTAAACTAAAAAACACACTATCTCCCAGAAGTAAGGGAAAAGAAATCTCAATGAATGAGTCAGGGTCAGGTGTTTATATCAAGACAGGATGGAAGAGACCATGTTCCCTACTGAAAAGCTAAGAAAAACCTTTAGTTACCAAGTTTCATGATCAGAATTAGGAGCTATCCTCTGCAAATATAAAATAATTTACTTACAAGATCCTTGGTAGAATTTCTAACGCGGAAGAAGTACACCACCAGGGTGGTGGGTAAGAGTTCCCACAGGAAAAGCACCACACCGAACACCACATATCCGGCATCTCCCAGCTGGTTCTTCAAATCCGCCTAGGGAAGACAGGGAGCAGTGGAGAGTCAAAGGCCAAGGCACTCATCCCAAAAGGAACACGGAATACTTTAAAATACTTCCTTTGCCCTAAACTGTGTGGCTACTGACACCAGACAAGAGTACCAGCTCAGACCTCAGGTATGTATGTTCTAGGGTTTGGGGAAGTATGCAGCATTCAAACCACATGGGGTAGACAAGCTCCTTCAAAACTTCAAAGACAGAAACTCCCTATCTCTGATGTGTTAGTACATCACCGCCCAAAACTCGTTCATACAGCCACGTTAACTCCCTCTGCCTTCAACCAACGCTGATTTTCTTCCTTTTACAACTTAAGAGTGAGAATGTTGTTCTGCCTCATCCTCAGTTCTTGAGAGCAACAAGAAGAGAGGAGAGAGAGGAAAAGAAATTTTTCATCTTGTGGTCCACTCCCCAAATGCCCACTTTTGCTGGGGCGAGGGCAGGCCTGAGAACGCTACCTAGGTCTCCGTGTGAGCATAGAGACCTAAGTACTGGAGGCACCACCTGCTTCTCTCAGTGCTCTAACAGGAAGCTAGATTGAATCAGAGGCAGAACTCAATTCCAGGCACTCTTAACACAAGATGCAGGCAACCCAAGCAGTGGCTGAACACACTGTGCTATAATGCCTGCCCCTGTTGGGGATTTGAAGGGAAGCTTCAACACTTTTATAGTTAGACATTTAATATTTTGCAAATCAATCCAAAATATTAGAAAAATTACATTTTTAAAGAGTGTTTCTTAATGAACAGTTGGACAAGGAATATTTTTCGTTATTCCCAGCACTTTGTACAATGCTTGAGTTTTTTTTAAAAAAAAATGGAAGATGAATTAATGTCACATTTTTCATTCCAGTTCAGTCTCATTTTTCTGTTTTGAGCCCTGTGAACATGGTTCCCATGGGTGAACATGGGTGCCTGGTGACACTTCACTGTGCTTGCCCATCTCCTTTATAACTTTCAAGTGTATTCTGACAAGACAGAGAATCCTAGCAGACCACTGGCACAATGATCTTTTTCTACAACCTTTATATTAGGCACTTTTGTCTGGATTCTCTCAGATGTTGTATACATGTTTCCTTTTAAAAAAAATCAGAACATGACAGTTTTAAATATTTCCTGAAACTGAGGATACTTTGTCCAGTTGTTCCAACTTTTACTCTTTAATAATGCCCTCTTACATTTATATGAAAACATTGAAATGGTAGGTACTACTTGACAGGTGGCAGAAAGAGATGAATTGTGTGTGTAAACACATTCATGTATTTGTACAACCAAAGATACTTCAAAATGTTCGTGGAATATTAAGATAAATCTGCGGGATTGGTATCCGTGTCGGTGTGTAGCAGTCGAGGCCTCCACCTGCAGCATTCGTACTCAGGTTACTCCACTTCTGATCCAGCTCCTTCCAAGTGGCCTGGGAAAGCAGTGGAGGATGACTAACGTCCTTAGACCCTTGCACTCACGTAGGGGACCCAGAGCAGGTTCTGGTTCCTGGCTTCAAATTGGCTCAGCTCTGGTCACTGCAGCCATTTGGGGCGTGAACCAGTGGATGGATGGTCTCTGTCTCTTTGTGTGTCACTCTGCTCTTCAAATAAGTTTCTTTTGGTATGAGAACCTTTTCAAATCCATGTAGTTTTTTTCCTATACTACTCACTTTCACAAATGGCTTAGAGCTTATACACATAGATTTCAAAAAATTTGTGTACCAAAATAAACTTGCCTTAATTCCACTTTCCATAAACTTGCTGCAATAACCTTGTGTGTGTTCATAGGCATATGAGAATGCACACACACATAGTTTTCTCAGAAGACATAGAGGGGAACTAGGCAGGCCATCCTACCGGACAGATGAGACAACAGCCAACGTGGGAAAGTGACTGTGTCCACCAGGTCAGCCAGAGAGGCAGCCGCAGAAACAGGGGCTCACGCATCAACCCGTGGTTGACCAGGTAGACCACTGCAAAGCCCACAGGCCCCACTGACCTGGTCTGACACGTTGTACCAGTCGTAGTCAAAAGAACGGACATTGTTGTTCTGAGAAAATGAAAGGATGAACAGGTTGTAGCAGGCCCGGGAGGTGTAAAGCAGGATGACGGTGACACCGATGGTGGTCACTTGGCACACAGAGGAGCCCTGGAAAAGAAGAAGCCAGAGAGTGGTAGGCCACATCAGGCTCAGGACAGCAGCTCCATCCCTGACCCCGACCAGGTATTGACATGGAAAGCCCCCTGCGAGCTCATAGGCCCTGTGGCCTCACTAAGCCTTCTGGGAGACCCACCTCCCTCACCTCTTACTCCTCCTGAGCCTCAGGGCACGCACATCACTTCCAGAAATCTCAGTGATCATCTTGTATTCGCCCTGGGACTTGGCTAGGAGGTCAGATGGCTTGTCTGGTTCAATCTCTCACTCTGTTCAGCTTCAAGAGGATGTTCTGGCTTATGCAACAGGCCAGACCTGGCTCTCAGGAAGCACACACAGACAACATCAAAAGGATGGAGGCTGGGAGAGAGCTGTGCTGCCCAGGGAGCTCTGGGCAGCCTGCACCCCCCTGGGCTGAGTACAGATGTCCCAGTGTGGCTTCGACTTACAGATGGATCAGTGATGTATGTTCTACTTCCTGACATTATCTAGTCCCAAAGTCAGGTAATGGACCTTCTAGCTAGAAATGGACAGTTAACAGAACCAGAAAGCTACAACTCATTTTTGAATTTTGGATTTAGAAATCATTAACCAATTACATGACACTATTTTATGTTGTCAAAAGATTTTGTTAGTCTGTATGCTATACAGGTAAACTAAATGGTATTTGACAAACCATGCTTTCTCCCTCATCAAAAATGGCAATTCTGTTTTAGAAGCCTTGGATAACTCTTAGAGGAGAGACAAACCTAACAGAGAAAGTTAAGTCAAAATCAAGTCTGAAATGTATCAAAGATGACTCTGCCAGGATGTTTTGGGTTTTCTGAGGGTGTATCTAAATCGCAGATGCCCTGATGAAGTCCTTCTGAAAACAGAGGCAGAGATTGTGCTAAAGGCATAATATCAGCAGAACGAGAGACTGTTCCACAATCTCCAGATGAGCCACATGGCCAAGAGCAGACAAGGAGCTAGGCTGCGGGGCACACGGCCACTAAGCTGCAGAAGCCCAGGCACTGGAGCCATCACTTTTAGCCATTTCAAAAGAAAACCAAGGCACAGGGAGACAAACTGGAGGCAAAGGTAGAAGCACCACGTCTCCAGCCAGTGACAGCCCAGACAGCTGCTCTCAGCCCATGTCCCGGGGTCTGGGCTCAGGCTGGGAAACTGCCAGTGAGAGGACAATCAGATGACCGGGCTGATCTGAAGCACCTTGGTGGCATAGCATGGTTGCCTATTTGTCCTCCTTTAGAACTCTGGGCACAGGAAAGGAGACCAGGCTGTGAGGCACGGCTGTACAAGCAAAGGAAGGGGCAGCTTCCGCTTCTCACGTCATGCCTCCTTATGGACACTAAGAGAGGAAATGTTCTTCATTCTGGGAGTGGCTCCTTCTGCAGAGGAGACACCACTCGGGGCACAGTGGGCCACAGCATGGGCCTTGAGGTGGATCTCCACAGCAGTACTACGGGGAAAGCATCACAGCCCCTGGTGCCAGACGCTGGCCACCGATCTTGCCTATTCACCTGCTCTGCTAGTAGGGACCAGCAACTTGCTCTCTTAGAGCCTTTGCATTCTTATCTATACAGCAAAGATTATAATACTGCCTACTCCCTTGCAGTCAGAAGGAGGCTTGAGTTTCCACACCTAAGGGGCTCAAAGTACCTAGAATGCCATCAGCACCAGATATACCTTCACTATTGTTACTGGGTCAATCAAGCCCATACCTCCCTTAAAATGTAGGTGAAATCATCATGTCTACAAGCCAAACACAGAACTCTCTGCCAGTAACCACACTTACCCTTTAGGCCCTCTGGAATGAAAGCCTCTGGAATACAAAGTTCAAAGATCCACCTGCCGCTGTGTTTGGCAGCCATGGTATGGCTAATCATTAGGTGGAGCTCAGGTGCAAAGGAGATGGGTCGTGTCCTATTTGCTTGCAGACCAGGAAATGGCAGCATTTTTAGAATGAGTTTCATGAGAGGGATCTCGACGGTGTGCCCACCCTACCTTGGACTCCAAGTAAATGTTGGCCAGTGACATCTTAGAGATTTTGTAGAGACAGACGGAGAGAGAGACGGCACACAGCACAAACAGCGTGTCATTGATGGCCACTCGCACGGAGACGATCACCTTCCTCTCCCAGTTTCCTGTCTTCACCAGCACGGCACAGGTTAAGTTCACCAGGAGGAAAACGAGACTGATGAAGAGTGAGGCCAGGTAGAGGGGCAGCCTGGAAAGGACAAGAGGGAAACTGAAGGCTCCATTCTCTCTGCCTGCAGGTGGCAGATCAAGCCAGCGCACTGTGCTGTGTGCTGGTTAAACCAGGAGGCAGCTGGCAAAAGCAACAAAACTGAAGGGCTCAGACTTTAGCAGTGATGCTCCCAGATTCAAATTACAAATTGATCACAAACTGCCTCAGGAAGGTATCCCTGGGTTCAACCAACTGTGAACTGAAAAGAGTTGGAAAAAAAAATGTACTAGTCCTGAATTATATACAGACTGTCATTTTTGTCATTATTCTCTAAACAATGCATTACAACAAGTATTTACATATAATTTACATTATTTAGCTCCTGTGAGTATATAGGAACATGTGCAAGGAGTGTATGCAAATCCCATATTTATAAGGGCTTGAGCTCCTTGGATTTGAGTAGCTGAGAGGAGGTGTCCCCAGCCCCTAGAGACACTGAAAGACAACTGTATGTGTACAATGCATTGTTTTGTATGACCCATTTTAACCCCAAAACATCACTACTACAGTGCCATCCAGGGAATACTCTGTTGGATAAAATGATGACTGTGATTAAAAATCTGCCACAGCAGGGGGCTGACACTGTAGCATAATGGGTAAAGCTGCCATTGCATATGGGCACCAGTTTGAATCCTGGCTGCTCCACTTCCAATCCAACTCCCTGCTAATGAGGAGTTGGATTTGGCCCGGCACAGCCCCAGCCACTGTGGCCTTTTAGGGAGTAAACCAGCAGGTGGCAGAACTCTTTCTGTCTCCTTGTCTATAACACTGCCATAAATTAATTAATTCATTCATTCATCAAACCTTTAAAATCAATCTGCCACAGCAATGGCCCCCAGCTAATAAATATTAATTGTCCATTTCACTGGCCATTGTTAGCCTGGAGTTTCTCAGAGCGATCTGTGTTCTATGCAGAACTTCTCAGAAGTACTAACACTCAAGCCAACAGCTTCAAGATTCTCTTCATGACTGTATCACATTTACTTTGGTTAAACATGAAACTAACAGCCTTGTTTGACTCAAAAATAGACTGGGCTAAGTTGAGTGTGTTTAGAATGCAAGCACGAGAGCAGAAAACCATCTACTAAAAGTTGTTTTGAAGCCAGAAGGTGATGTTAGTGCTCTCAAAGCCCTGAAGGCCAGGGAATGGGGAACCTTGATTCTGCTACCAGCTACAGATGGTACTGATGCCGAGGGGAGATAAGAGGTGGGGCGCAATGAGAAGGGGGAGGGCAGGAGAGAGACAGACACAGTGAGAGGCAGAGCAGCACAGAGGTGTCCACTGCAGCACTCCCACGCCAGTGGCCAGCTGAGACTTGACTTCCTGCCCTCGGTGGCCAGTGTAACAGAACAACCTCTGACACATTAGACTAAAATGAACGGGATTTTGTGTCTTGCAATTAATCATTTACTAGCCACTGGCAAAGCCTCTCATTTCATTTTCACAACCGGTGTTCTGCCTCCCTGACTGCCACTCACCCTGCAGTTCTTGGCTCAAACAAAACTGTTATAAGGAAATATTTCCTGTACTCCTCACATGCATACATACATATATACATAAGCAAAGTTGGTGCCCTCTGACATTTGCCCTCCTGGTCCCCTGCACCTGACCTCCACAGGCCTATCAGACTTTATAACAACATCTATGGACAGTGATTCAATTCACTTCTGCCTGCATACACTGCATGAAGTTTTCTCCATGCTCAGATTTAGGATGTTCCTTCACTCCCTGTATCCACACTGAATATGCCAGGGGCTCATAGAAGTATTCCTAAGATGGGGAAAATGGGGAAAGGGAAGCAGGAAGAGTCAGGCAACATTATCTATCTGAACTTGTGCCGCCCTTATGATTCCAAAATTGATATTCTCACTTGTAATATCTGCACCTGCCTCTATTTCTCCCTTCACTTCTGTGAATTCCTTCCCAATAAAAACACCCACAGGTATCATCGTGGCTGATCTCCAAGGTGTATCTTGACTCAAGGGCCAAGCAGCAGCTGTACCCACACCGACATATTCTCACCCAAATATGCCATCCCGATACTCAGAGAATGCGAGTCTTTTCAACAATTTCCTCCCTGAGCAGTTTTCATAATTCTATCCTAGAAGCCATTTTACTGTGTTGGCCCTGACCAGTTCCAAGACAAAGGCAGTTCTATGAGCCAATCAGAACACTCTCCCCAGTTGTCCTGGATGAGGGGATGGAGGGCAAAGGTTATGGATGTGAAAGAAAGACCTGGCTAGTTTCTGGTTGGAGAAGAGACCATCCATTTAAGAGTTTACTGCATGTTGACTATCCCTTATCTGAAATGTGTCAGGACAGAAGGGTTTGAGATTTGGGATATATAGATTTTGGAATAGCTGCATATGCATAATGAGCTATCCTAGAAATGACTTAAATCTAAACACAAAATTCATTCATATTCCATTTACACCTTATATATACAGTCTGAAGGTGAATGTCATACAACACATTTAGTACATTTGCATTCTGCCTTTTGGATTTTTGGAAAGGCAGAGAGAGATGGAGAGAGGAAGAGAGAAAGATATCCCATTAGCTGGTTTACTCCCAAATACCTACAATGGCTTGCAGTAGGCAGGGCAGAAACTAGGAGCTAGGAACTCAACTCAGATTCCCCATGTGGGTAGTGGGAACCCAGCTACTTGAGTATTGCCTCCCATGGCCTGTATTAGCAGGAAGCTGGAGGGAAGAGGTGGTGCCAGATATCAAATTCAAGTACAAACACATGAGATACAGATGTTTTATCCAGCATGTTAATCCTGCAATATAGTTTAAATAATATATAGTTTAAACAATTTCTAGATTATTTAATATAGTTTAATATAATTTAATATAGTTTAATATAGTTTAAATAATTTCTAGATTATTGGTAATATTTCGTATAAAAGCTATGTTGACAGGAGTTGCACTGTATTATTTAGAGAATAGTGACAAGAAATAAGTCTGTACATATGCATCATAAACACAACTTTTCACCAAATATTTTCAATCTACAGTTGGTTAACTCCGAAGCTGCGGAACCAGCAGACATGGAGAGTTGATGAAATTTACATAAAATACAGTAAATACTGTAAGAAAGTTGGTTTGCTCGTTTGTTTTTCATTTTGGTCACTTTTCTTACCACATCTGCTTGTGGCAGTGGCACTCTCCTGGGCAGGGTCATTAGACCATCAGGACACAGACTATTCCCCTTCCCTTTGCTGTACAGCCAATTCTGAGCATTACTGAAGCCTCTGGTTCATGGCTTCGGTGGTGGGGGGAGGTCAGATCTCTTAGACAACCTGGGGGGAAACCAGGCACCCTCTCTGCAGAAGAAACACTCCTGCCCACCTTTTCACATGTATCTGGCACAGGATGGAAGGACTCACTTCCATGAATGCAAGCCTCCCCTGCACAGCCCAGCGAAAGCCTCCCCCCTTGCAGATTTCCATGACTCCCAAGGCACAGACAGTCCATGCTATTGGTGTACTGAGTATACTGCCTTGCCCAAACCACATTGTCTGTGTTGCTTAGGACACCTCTGCAAACAGAACTGCTTCTCCAGAACATTTCCTCCTTGTGGGGCCTGACAGAAGACTGAATGAACAAAGCTATACCTGTTGAATATAAATGAGAGCCCAGCCAGCAACTGTGATGGCAACTGGACACTGGTCAGTGGGGCTCCAAAAAACCAAGAGCCCACTGATAATCAGCAGCTAGAGACTAGGGAGAGGGAATCCCCCTCGTCCCCTGCACCTGCAGGAACTGGGCCTCATACCAGGCATCTTCAGGGAAAAAGGTTTTTCTTCTGCTGAAGCCATTTACTCTCAAGTGCCTGAGAAAGGTGTAGGCACAGCACGCATCTCCCTCCTTCTTCCCTGGGTAGGACAGGCACTGGGTCTTGTTCCCAAACAAGGCAAATGTACTGCAGGAACCCTATTCAGTAAGCACACTCTCCCAGGCAATGAAACAGTGCTGGCAGGCAGACAGGTGGCAGGCAGGACTGTTCTAGGGACTTATATACAGGAGTGCAGTGTGCAAACTCCAGATGGAAAAACAAGCATCATGTGCAAGTGTGTGTGTCTCTTAGCGTGGAAGGAAACACCCGCGTACTTACCGGTACTTGAGTAACTCCGGAGAGTATTTTGACTTGGCTTTGAAAATCACCTGCAACAACAGAAGCACAGGGCAGTTGGGGGTACAGTATGCTGACAGCAACCACCAACAGCCTCCCTTGGAACTCCCCTTTCCCCTTTTCTACAGCCAGGTCCTCGGGCAGCTTTTCACCTGCTGTTTGCAGTAACACATTGCCAAAGGTATTTTTAAATGGTTATAAAAAGAAAAATGAAAGTAAAGATATGACTGATCTACCACTGCCAAGTACTTCTCTTATTTTAAGATTCTTGTTGGGGTTGGGAGGGAGACTGGTCAACATTTTGTCTAGCAGTTAAAACACCAGTTGAGAAGCTTTCCTCCCGCACTGCAGTTTCTGGGTTCAGTTCCTGGCTCCACCTCCCACTTCCAGCTTCCTTCAGTCCCCTGAAGGCAGCAGAGGACAGCTCTGGTGCTGGCGTCTTTGCCATTCGCATAAGAAAGCTGGATTGGGTTCAACACCCCAATGATATGGGTGAGAAGGCAGTCATGGATTTAAAAAAAAAAAACACATCACCACATCCTCTCCCTCGGGGTCACTTCTGAAAGTCTGCCTCCCCCTCCACCAACAACCCCGCTCTGGCCAACAACCTCAAAACCACAATTGTAGCATGGCTGCTGCCTAGAACTGGTGCCAGCTAGAAATATCCAACATGGCCGCAATGATCTATTATTATATAATTATAATAAAGTTACCATGGCATACCTCAGCATTACCATGGCATACCCCTCAACATTAGTACTGGTCCAGGCCATACCAGGCCTTTGTGGGCACTTGGGAAGTGAGCTTGTAAGACAGAAGCTGGTCTCTTCCTCCCCTTGTCTCTCTTCTCTCTATTCATCAGTAATAATGAAAGATTCATACTTGAGATAAACAGTTTAGCCTCTTTATTAAACTTTCACCTGCACCAAATTAAATGTCCATATAGGCTTCAGCTTTTATAGCAAATTTAAAGTAGTCTAGTGTATGTGGATTACAGATGTATTAAGCCTGATGATTTTCTGTAAGAGAAATACTGAAGGATGTGGTTCTTCAAAAGCTTTAGAAGCCCGCTCCACTGTCTGCTTACAGTGGGTGTGGCACTGATCTGGTGGGAGCTTCAAGAAGGCGATGGGGAGAGACAGCAAGTAGGTGTCCACTCCAGCTGCCACCCCACAGAGACGTGTGCTTGCTCCTGCCAGAGAAGGAGCTCCGAGGTTAGTTCAGGCTTGCTGGGGCCTTAGGGGGCTTTTGAGGAGGCCGGGGTCTCTCCTAGAGGTAGAGCAGCAGTAGGTGACCTCCAGTGTTTGCTGTCCCTGGATCCCTGGGGTTGGGTGGAGTACTGGGAACAGGAAACGAAGTGTGGGAACATGGAGAGAGGCTATCTTTCCAGAGACTCACATTCTAGCAAGTTTTGACTGTCTCCATCACCCTCTGTCCCCACTACCCCACAACCACATTTTGACTCTGCTTCTATGAATCTGGCCTTTGGAGACTTGAAATATAAGTGAAATCATGCTGCATCTGTCTGTGTCTGGTTCATTTTGCTAAGCTTAATGTCCTCCTGGTTCACCCTGTTGAATAAATCTTAGAAACCTAAGGTGCAGTGTAATGACTAGTTAATAACAACAAACTGTGCACTTTTCAGTTGCTAAGGATGTAAAGCTTAAGCATTCACCATAAAAATGGGTGAATAAAACTATTTAAGATGATGGATGTGTTCATTATCTTGGGGAATTATTTCACTTGGATTTGTACATCAAAATGTCACATGGTACACCTTGCATACACAATTTTTGCTTGTCAATCATCCTTTGACAAAACTTTTAAATACTTAGATGCCCTCCTTCCTAGCAAACCTTGTCCTATGGAGTTCCTATCCATGGCTGTGGCCTCTGGCCTTTTCCTCCCACCCAGCCCTAGACTTATGATATCTCTCTGGCACCCTGCAGTGCCCCCATGCACCCACCTCCCAGCCCTGCTTCTTCTTGCTATGTTCCCCATCTCCCGAGTTCCCCTTCCTCAACTCTCTCCGCATAGGGTACTCCTCTCAAGGTTTGCTCAGGCCCTGCAAATATTTGTCTAAGGGACTGGAACACGTGGCCTGGGTTGAAATGAACTGAGTGCTGAGCAGGGATGAAAAGCATCAGTTGTGGTAGGGTGGGGGGAGGGCAGCTCTGGGCCCTTGGTGCACATAAGCTAGGAGCTACCCGCTTGCATGGGAAAGAGGCAGAGGAGAAGGGTCCACTTACTGTAGAATGTCTGGGTAATCCAGAGATCCTTCTGTGGGGTCCCAGGTGCCTACTGATACAGCGTTATGAGGAGGGGCCATGGCCAATTCTCCGAATGTCTGCAGCAGGTATCATGCCCTCTGGGAAGTTTTCAAAAGTTACACTGCTGACCAACCCCAGAAGTGTCATTGGGCTTGCATGTGCAGAAGAATCACTTGCCAAAAAGGTCCATCCTGCCTACCCTGCTTCAGAGATTCCAATTCAGCGAGACCAGGTGGACGTCAGAAATCACTCCCTTGCGCCTTTGTAAGTCCCTGGCACCTGTGATGCTGACACATCTAGCCCAAGGGCCACCTACTGAGAAGTACTCATCTAAACACAGCAAAACAGCCTGGCCTAATCTCCTGAACAGTTTTGCAAACATTAAAAAAAAAAAAAAGACTAGGAAAACACGTGATGATGATAATCAGATGGCATGGCAGTACAGTGTCCAGCACAGAGAACTTTGGTCAGAGACACTGAGTCACTAGGCAGTGCCACCTGACCCCACTCACAGGCTGCTGGTGAGGACTCAAGAGCCATGCAGTTACGCTTATCTCGGGGTAGGGCGGATGCTGGTATTCCCACAGGATTTAGAGTAAACACTGCTATCTTCCTGGAGCCTACTCAGAGCTCTGCAGGTTGGACCTTCCGACTCCAAGGATGAATGTCTTGATAGTAGACACGGCTTTGGTTTCTGTGCTAAGTCTGTTTCAGAGGTAGGGAGGATGTAGAGATTCTCCCCACAAATATAGGAAAATCTCAAACTCCTAGGCAGAGCTCAAAGGACGGCATAGTGCCCTTGCCATAAGGGAGCACTGAGTCCAGCTTCATCTGGCAAATTACTACAGGGTTCTAGGCAGGGCCCCACCACCTTTGCCTTCCCCCTGCCACCAATACAGAGAAACATGTTCAACGACCTCCCTTAGGAACAAGGAAGAGATTCACAATCACAGCTAAAGTGTTCTTACAAAGACCAGTCTGTGTCTAGGCTGCTCCACTTCCCATCCAGCTCCCGGCTTGTCGCGTGGGAAAGCAGTCGAGGATGGCCCAAAGCCTTGGGACCCTGCACCCACGTGAGAGACCTGGAAGAAGCTCTTGGCTCTAGGCTTTGGTTGGCTCAGTTCTGATCATTGCAGTCATCTGGGGAGTGAACCAGCAGATGGAAGATCTTTGTCTCTCTGTCTCTCCTCTCTGTAAATCTACCTTTCCAATAAAAATAAATAAAACTTTAAAAAATGAAAGGGGAAAAAAAAATACTCTGAGGCTCCCAAGATAAAAGCCATAGAGATAACATCACATAAGAAAGCCTTATCAACAGTTTGTACAAGTTCTATCTACTCTGTGATTCACAGCCTTTATCTTGCACTCAGCTGGACCTTTTCAAGCTGTGCTCAGAAACTCTCTTCCTGGGCTTCCAGCTCGATGGCTCAGCTGATTAATCCACCCATTGTAAGCACCAGCATTACATGTGGGCACTGGTTTGTGTTCCAGCTGCTCTGATTCCCATCCAGCTCCCTACTTGTGGCCAGGGAAAGCAGTAGTGGATGACCCAAAGCCCTGGCACCCTGCATGGGAAACCCAGAAGAAGTTCCTGGATCCTGGCTTCAGAGCTCTGGCCAATGTGGTCATTTGAGGAATGAACTAGCAGGTAGAAGATCTTTCTGTCTCTCCTTCTCTATGTAAATCTGCATTTCCAATACAAATACATAAATCCAGAAGAAAGGAAGAAAGAAAGAAAGAAAGAAAGAAAGAAAGAAAGAAAGAAAGAAAGAAAGAAAGAAAGAAAGAAAGAAAGAAAAGAAAAGAAAAGAAAAGAAAAAAGAAAGAGAGAAAACTCCCTTCATCCTTCAAGTTAACCTGTGAATTAAATTCCTTAAAGTTGTATTTTAGGGCTGGCATTGTGGCTCAGAAAGGTAAGCTGCTGCCTGCAATGTCGGCATCCCCTAGGGGCCCAGTTCAAGTCCTGGCTGCTCCACTTCTGATCCAGGTCCATGCTAATGCACCTAGGAAAGCAGAAGAAGGTACAAATCTTTGAGCTATTGCACCCACATGGCAGACCTAGTTTTGGAGACATGGAAAGGCATGAGGAACTGTGGAAAGGCAGGAGATAGTGTGAAGAGGCATAGGGAGGTGTAAGGTGGCATGAGGAGGTTTGGGAAGACATGCAGCAAGATGGGGAGGTATGAGAAGGTGTTAGGTGCCAGGAGGTATGAGGAGCCATGAGTAGGCATCAGAAGGTGGGAGGTGATATGAGAAGGTGTGAGGAGCCATGGGGAAGCAAGGAGACATGAAGAGCTGAGGGGTGGGGAGGGCGTATAGGAAAGTCTGAGCTGTTGCACCAAGGAGCTGTGAATAAGTGTGAGGAGGTCTGGTGGCCTGCAGGGACCCTGGGAGCCTCGGGCAGAGGAAGAGTGATGGCAGCAGAAGGAAGCCAGAAGTAGTACAGGTACTGGATCTCCCTGGGAAGGAGCTGGAGAGGATGAATAGTAGAGAAGGAGCACCATTAGAAATTCGATCTGTGCTTGGCAAGAGGTGTGAGAGCAGGGGACCCAAGCAAAGGGGCTGGACTCTGGGTGGACAGGGCCGTGACCATCAGAGCTGTGGCTAACAGCGAGCCAGAGACACGGCTGGGTCACTAGCTCCTAGCCATGGTGGCAGGGGACTGCAGAGGAACAGGAAGTGGCTGCTAATGGGTATAGAGTCTCCTTTTGGGGAGCTGGAAAACTTTTAAAACTGTGGTGATGGTTGAGCAACTCTGAGAA